CTTCGAGCTAGTGCTCCACCTAGCTACTGAACATGCTCTTGTCTCTAGTGTCTGATAAAACAACCAACAGCATGGATCATAAGTCCCTTGAAAGTTTGTGATCCGACAGGGTTTGGTTAGTAGTTCTAATCCTCAGGCAGTTACAAAATGGTCAAAGAGACTAGGAAAAGGTGACTGAGAAAGGAATGTTCAGTCCATATGCTTCACCCATTTCTGGCTGTTCCCTTTGCATGGACATTGAGTGCCTCTTGGCATTGGCAGGTCAGTATAAACCCCCGACAAGGCTCCCCTTTTGGGGGCTGCCTTCAGTCATTATGAGGCACCACGAAACTGTAGAGCAGGGCTCATTACTGGCTTGAAGCAGGGCATGTCTCTTTCATGCTGCTTTCACACACACACACAGGCACACTGCAGAGTTAGTAAAGTACAGCAGAAAACTTGCTTACCAGGAGAGCGAAGAACTAGAGCTCCAAGCATCCTTACCTTGTCTTGAAGATCCCAGATGAGCTCCCAAAATGAAAGGCTGCTGCTGCAAGCTGTGCTATGCTGGGATTCATGACCTCCAGAGGAGAGGATTTCAATCCAGGATCAGATACAAGGCTTAACTGCTTGGAGCTTTTTGTGTAGTAAAGTTTTTTCTGAGCTTTGTGATCTTTGGCAAGATGCCTGACCCCTTTGTGCTTCAGCGTCTGAGCTGTGTGATCTTAAGCAGGTTGCCCAACTTCTCTGAGCTTCCATATCTGAGAAGTATGATCTTATGCAAGTTACCTGACCTCTCTGTGCTTCCACTTACAAACTGTGTGATCTTAGAAAAGATGCCTGGCCTCTCTATGTTTCCATATCTGAGCTTTGTGATCTTAGGTAAGTTGTGTAACCTCTCTGTTCTTCTACTTCTGAGCTGTGTGATCTTAAGCAAGTTGCCTAACTTCTCTCCGCTTCAATATCTGAGCTTTGTGACCTAAGGCAAATTTCCATCATCTCTGTGCCTCCAGTTTTGAGTTGTGTGATCTTAGCCAAATTGCCTGACCTCTCTGTGCTTCCACATTTGAGCTGTACAATCTTAGGCAACTTGCCTAACATCTCTATGCTTCCACTTTTGAACTTAGTGATCTGAGACATGTTGCCAAACCTTCCCGTGCTTCCACATCTGAGCTGTGTGATCTTAGGCAAGTTGTGCAACCTCTCTGTGCTTCCATATCTGAACTGTGTGATCTTAAGCTAGTTTCAGAACATCTTTGCATTTCCACTTCTTAATTCTGTAAACTTTGGTAAATTTCCTTGTTCTCTGTGCTTTCACTTAGGAGCTGTTTGTCTTAGACAAGTTGCCTGACCTCTCTGTGCTTCCTATTCTGAGCTGTATGATCAGACAAGTTGCCTGATCTCTCTGTTCTTTGAGTTCTGAGCTGTGTGGTCTTAGGCAAGTTGCCTAACCTCTCAGTGTTTCCATATCTGATCTGTGTGATCTAAGGCAAGCTGCTGAACCTCTCTGTGCTTCCACATCTGTCTGTGTGAACTCATGTAAGTTGTGTAAATTCTCTGTGCATCCATATCTGAGCTGTGTGATCTTAAACAAGTTGAATAACCTCTCTGTGCATCCATATGTGAGCTTTGTGATCTTCGTAAAGTTGCCTAACTTCTCTGTGCTTCGCTTAAGCTCTGTGATATTAGGCAAGTTGCCTGAGCTCTCTAGCTTCCACTTCTAAGCTGTATGAAATTAGGCAAGTTGTATGACCTATCCGTGCTTTCACATGACCTGTATGAACTCAGGCAAGTTTGCAAATTCTCTGTTTTCATATTTGAACTGTGTTATTTTGACAAGTTGCCTAACCATTCTCTGCTTCCATTTCTGAGCTGTATTATTTTAGGCAAGTTGCCTGTTCTCTGTGCTTCCCTGTCTGTGCTGTGTGATCTTAGGCAAGTAGCCTGACCTCTCTTTGCTCCCATTTCTGACCTGTGTGATAATAGGCAAGTTGCCTGACATCTCTGTGATTCCATTGAGCCATTGAAATTAGGCAAGTTACCTAACCTGTTTGTGCTTCCACATGAGCTGTGTGATCTTGGGTAAATTTCTGAATCTCTCTGTGCTTCTATATTTGTGGTGTGTAATCGTAGGCAAGTTACCTAACCCTTCCCTGCTTCCATTTCTGAGCTGTATTATTTCAGGCAAGTTGCCTGATCTTTGTGCTTTCACTTCTGAGCTTTGTGATCTTATGCAAGATGCCTTTCCTCTCTGTGATTCCACATCTCAGCTGTGTGATCTTAGGCAAGTTACCTAACATCTCTGAGCTTCCATACCTGACATGTGTGATCTTAGGCAAGGTGCCTAACCTCTCTATCTTACACTTACACTTCTGAGCTGTGTGATCTTATGCAAGTTGCCTGAATGTGCTGTGCTTCCACTTGAGCTATGTGAACTTGGGCAAGTTGCCTAAACTCTCTGTGATTCCACTTAAGCTGTGTGACATTAGGCAAATTGCATGATCTCTCTGTGCTTCCACTTTTGAGCTTTGTGACCTTAGGCAAGTTGCCTGACATATCTGTCTTCCACTTGAGCTGTGTGTTCTCAGGCAGGTTGACTACATTCTCTCTCTGCCTACATATCTGAGCTGTACGATATTAGGCAAGGTACCTAACCATTCTGTGCTTTCACTTCTGAGCTGTGTTGTCTTAGGTAAGTTGCCTAACTTATCTGTTATTCCATTTTTGAGCTGTGTCAACTTAGGCAAGGTGTCTGTCCTCTCTGTGCTTCCACTTGTGAGCTATGTGATCTTAGGCAAGTTGCCAAAACTCTCTGTGCTGCCACTTCTGAGTTGTGGCATTTTAGGCAAGTTGCCTGACATCTCTGTGCTTCCACTTCTGATCTGTGTGATCATAGGCAAGTTGTGTGACATCTCCACGCTTCCACCCCTGACCTGTGTGATCTTAGGCAAGATGCCTGACCTCTCTGTGCATCCAATTGAGCCGTTAAACTTATGGAAGTTGCTTAACCTCTCTATTCTTCAATATCTGAGCTGTGTGATCTTTGGCAAGTTGCCTGACCTCTCTGTGCTTCCATTTCTGAGCTGTGTGATCTTAGACAAGATGCCTGACCACTATCTTCTTCCACATCTGTGCTGCTTCATCTTAGTCAAGTTGCCAAACCTCTGTGTTCATCCATATGTGAGTTGTGTGATCTTAGGCAAGTTATCTGATCTCTCTGTGCTTGCACTTAAAAGCTGTGTGATCTTAGGCAAGTTGCATAACCTCTCTGTGCTTCCACATCTGAGCTGTGTGATCTTAGAAATGTTGCCTAACCTCTCTGAGCTTTCATATATGAGATGTGCAATCTTAGACAAGTTGTCTCTCTTCTATAGGCTTCCACTTATCAGCTATGTGATCTTAGGCAAGTTGCCTGACCTCTCTGTTCTCCACTTTGAGCTCTGTGATATTAGGCAAGTTGTCTGACTTCTCTGTGATTCCTCTTGAACTCTGTGAACTTAGGCAAGTTGCCTAACTGCTCTGTTTTTCATATCTTAGCTGTATGATCTTAGGCAAGTTGCCTGCTCTCTCAGTGCTTCCACTTCAGAACTTATGATCTGAGGCAAGTTGTGTGACCTCTCAGGGCTTCCACTTCTGAACTGTGTGATCATGACAAGTTGCATGACCTCTCTGTGCTTCCACTTCTGAGCTGTGTGACCTTAGTCAAGTTGCTTAACCTCTCTGAGCTTTCATATCTTAGATGTGTGATCTTAGGAAGTTTCCTAGCCTCTCTAGGCTTCCACTTCTGAGCTGTGTGACCTTAGTCAAGTTGCTTAACCTCTCTGAGCTTTCATATCTTAGATGTGTGATCTTAGGAAGTTTCCTAGCCTCTCTAGGCTTCCACTTCTGAGCTGTGTAATCTTTGGCAAGTTGACTGACCTCTCTGTGCTTTCAGTTGTGTGCTGTGTGATCTTAGGCAAGTGGCCTGACCTCTCTGTCCTTCCACTTCTCTACTTCTGAGTTGTGTGATCTTAGGCAAGTTGTGAAACTCTGTGCTTCCGTTTCTGACCTGTGTGATCTTAGGCAAGTTGCCTGACCTCTCTGTGCTTCCATCCCTGCACGTGTAAATGGGCTTACAAACAGGACCTAGCTTAGAGGGTTCTTATGAGGATTTCAGTCAATTGTGAGTGTTCAGGACAGCACCTGGCACATAGTCAGTGCTCAAGTCTTTTAGTCCTGTTTCTCAATCTAGCCCGCTTCCTTTCCCCCTCTAATTTCCTAGTAATTACCCCCTGGGTAAGGTGGAAGGTGAATGGCTGCTAAGTCTTAACTTGACACTGTTTGCATGTGTGTAGAAAAGAAGGTTCCCAGCAGCCTAGGGAAGACTGCCTTTCTTCAAACACTATGCATGCTTGAGTGTGGCCAAAACCAGAGCAGGGTTAGTGTGCATGAGTGTTGCTCTGCTTCACAAGATCCCAGATAACTCACATTTCCTAATGGAAATGTACTCATAGCCCTCAGTGCTTGTTTGTGCTGTTGTAACTCTTGCCTGCTCTGTACTCATCTCTTCAAAGTGTTAATAAGTTATACATGTGGCTGAGGCTGTCTTTTTTCCTTCTCCATGATGTAGTTTCCACTTGGTGGTTCTGAGGTTTCCTGGATCACGAGCTGGGGATTTGTTTGAGGAAGGGGCAGCACTGGAGGCTCAGTAAGGAGAGACTGTGGTCTATGAGCTAGTTGGAGGGGCAGAAAGAAAGCATTCTGCTCTAGTCTGACTTTTCTCCCCAAGCTCCCTCCCAACTGCAGCGGTCTGCTAACTCTTAGGTGAGATGATGGTTAACAGATTGTTAACATTTGTAGCCCAACATCCTACAAGGGAGAAGGACAAACAAGAGGGCTTTGGAGCTCTGCCTCACTTCCAACCCCACAGTTAACCTGTAAGGAAGATCCAGCCGCCCTTGACGGTGTCCTGGTTGTCTGTTGTGATGGTGCTGCCCTCTGCTGTCACTTCAGGGTAGAGGAACCATTTAAAACACAGCCTGTTAGTGAGTGAATTTAGAATTTACTTCTCTGAAAGATTTTGGAGAGCTGGGCAGAAGCAAGACTTTCTATCCACAAGCTGCTGCCCAGGGCTTTTCCTTAGTCCCTCCCTAGCTTCTTATGCTCTTCCAGTGCTACCTAAAGCAGAGACTTGCTTGAGAAACTATTACATAGTCCTAGAAAGGTGTCTGGAAATGTCCCAGGATCAGGGAACCTCACCCACCTGAGAGTCCTTTCCTCAGAGCTGTGGGAAAGCATTTTTTCCTTTGATTAGGCCCCAGTTTTGGCTGACCAGGGAACCTTTTCCCTTGACCTCAACCATGCTCCAACTCAAGTTCAGTCGCATATGTCTCTTTGTTCCCGGCGCTGGATCAGCTCCTCATTGCTCAGTAGATAGTCATCAATGAACGTGAAGATTTCCTCGGGGGTGACAGGTTCCATGTAGCGTTCCCGGTCAATTCCCTGCTTGTCAATCAACACCATGTTGAAGTAGGATCGAGTGAGGTGCTGAAATTGCCTAGAGAGATGAGCCCAGGGATGTGTGAGACCTTGTCTGGACATCATCCCGCCAGACTCTAGTACTCTGATCTTTCACAGCTCCACTGATGGACTAATTCTTTCCCCACTGAATCATTTGGCCCCACCCCTTCCAGTACCTATCTCAAGCCCCTTTATTTTTCTCTGCTCACACCTTAGTCGTGCTGCCCCAACATCTCTAGCTCTGTTAAGCTGTCCCTTCCTCACCCCAGGTGGAACAGCTTTCTTACTACCAAGCTGTGCTTGCCTCACAGGCCCCCTTATGCAGGGCTATCACATATAGCGATGCAGGCTGCACGTAATAACTCCAGGGAGCACCAGTCACGGGCACTATGCCGTGACCAGTGTTTCCCAGAGCTGGACAAGCATAGCCTGCACAACCAAACATGGCAGCCCTGAGGCTGATCAATATCACCTGGTCAACCTTCAGGTTGATCAATATCACCAAGTCTGCAGTCTCCTTCCTCTGCATGTTTTCCAGTCTCTCCTCTTGTTGCTGTTGTTTAGTCACTAAATTGTGTCTGACTTTTCTGTGACCCCATGAACTGTAGCCCACCAGGCTCTCCAGGCAAGAATACTGGAGTGGGTATCCATTCCTTTCTCCAGGGGATCTTTCCAACCCAGGGACTGAATCCACAGTCTCTTGCATCTCCTGCATAGGCAGTTGGATTCTTTACCACTGACTTTGCTACTGAGCCACCAGGGAAGCCCCAGTCGTTACCTGGGACTGAATCTTTCTGTCCCTGAGATTAAGCCCTAGGGGAAAGTATTGTTTATGCAACAGAGAGGAGTGATGGCTTTACTGGGTCTCAGTATATGTGGGGGATTGGGAGGGTGATAACAGATAGATAATGAGAAATGTCAACTTCTACCACCTGTTCCCTATGGTGTTCTCCTCCCCAAGGTTCAGATAGGTATGATTCAGATTTCAGTGCCTAAAGATGCTTTTTGCTCATTTGAAGACTGAAGGCAAAAGAATACAACCACCAGGCAACAGGATCAAAGGCTTATCTAAGTCATGTTTGAGTCTGTGTCTCAGCCCTGGCTGTGCTTCAGGGTCACCTGAGATGCCTCATAAAAGCACAGTCCTGAGGTGGTTTGAGGTGGTCATCTGTATTTTCAACAACACCCTGCCATTTCATTCTGATGCCCTGCCACACTCTGATCTTACCTAATGCATCCAAAGAGTTCAAACACAAGCAATTCCCCAAGAGAATAGTGTTTGCTGATTTTCCCACAACTCTCTTGTGGCCAATGTCCTGCCTAAGGATTCTACCCACTCCTTTCCTGTTGCCCTCCAGTCTGGACCTGAGTTCCTCAATGATATTGGCTGACAGCTGTTGCTCCCGGATGCGCCCCACTTCCTGAGGTGGCTGCCCCACCAGCTCGATGATGGTCACGTGCCTCAGGTCCAGTCCACAAGTGGATTGCTGGGAGGGGAGAGAAGAAGGTTTTCCTGAATAGGCTGTCAAACCCAAACCTAAGGCTACTTAACTGATTCCTCCTGGGATCATGTCAAGGCAGTGTGGGAAAGAAGGGGCTTCTTCACAAACCATCACATGAGAGGGTCTACCCCCTCTTTCCTCTGTCATTCCTGAAGCACTTGCCCCAACATGCGTGTGCGCATGCTAAGTCGATTCAGACTTGTCCGACTCTTTGTCACCCTATGGACCATAACCTGCCACGCTCCTCTGTCCATTGGATTCTCCAGGCAAGAATACTGGAGTGGGTTGCCACGCCCTTCTCCAGGGGATCTTCCTGACCCAGGGATAACCTGTATCTCTTATGTCTCCTGCATTGGCAAGTGGGTTCTTAACCACTAGTGCCTCCTGGGAAGCCTACTTACCCTAACAGTGTTTCTTCTATTCTAATGAAGTGTAGAGATTGGCTATATCATGTGGGATAGAAAAGATAAATGTAATTGACAAATTACAGTAACATCATCCTTCCTTGCTTAGTTTTGAATAGATTTTTAAATACGTAAGTTATTTGGGGGGGGGTTACCAATTGTTCATTTACTGATATGTTTTAAATCCTTGTCTTGCTTTTGCTCTAGTGCTGCCTCTTCCTTCAGCTTACACCCCCTGTTCATTTTTTAAATTTAATTTATTTATTTTAATTAGAGGCTAATTACAATATTGTGGAGGTTTTTGTCATACATTGACATGAATCAGCCATGGATTTACATGTGTTCCCCATCCTGAACCCTCCTCCCACCGCCCTCCCCACCCCATCCCTCTGGGTTGTCCCAGAGCACTGGCTTTGAGTGCCCTGCTTCATGCATCGAACTTGCACTGGTCATCTGTTTTACGTATGGTACTATACATGTTTCAATGCTATTCTCTCATATTGTCCCACCCTCAGTTTCTCCCATATCATCTAAAAGTCTCTTGTTTGCATCTGTGTCTCTTTTGCTGTCTTGCATATAGGGTCATCGTTACCGTCTTTCTAAATTCCGTATTATATACATTAATATACCATATTGGTGTTTCTCTTTCTGACTCACTTCACTCTGTATAATAAGCTCCAGTTTCATCCACCTCATTAGAACTTGATTCAAAAGCATTCTTTTTATAGCTGAGTAATATTCCATTGTGTATATGTACTAAAGCTTCCTTATCTATTCATCTGCTGATGGTCATCTAGGTTGCTTCCATGCCCTAGCTATTGTAAACAGTGCTGCAATGAACACTGGGGTACATGTGTCTCTTTCAATTCTGGTTTCCTCAGTGTATATGCCCAGCAGTGGGATTGCTGGGTTGTATGGCAGTTCTATTTCCAGTTTTTTTTAAGGAATCTCCACATTGTTCTCCACAGTGGCTGTACTAGTTTACACTCCCTCCAACAATGTAAGAGGGTTCTCTTTACTCCACACTCTCTCCAGCATTTATTGTTAGTAGACTTTTTGATGACAGCCATTCTGACCAGCGTGAGATGGTATCTCATTGTGGTTTTGATTTGCATTTCTCTGATAATGAGTGATGTTGAGAATCTTTACATGTTCTTTTTAAAATTGAGATACTAGTTGACGTATTAGTTTCAGGTGTACAATATAATGATTTGATATTGTCTAAATGATCATTGCAATAAGTCCAATTAACATTCATCACCACACAGTCACAACGTTTTTCTTACAATGAGAAATTTTAAGATCTATTTTCTTAGCAATTTTCAAATATGTTATATAGCTATAGTCACCATGCTGTACATCACAGCCCCAGGACTTACTTATTTTATAAGTGGAAGCTACATAAGTTCTTTGTGTGTTAATCGCTCAGTCATGTCTGACTCTTTGTGACCCCATGGACTGTAGCCCACTGGGCTCCTCTGTCCATGGGATTTCCCAGGAAAGAATACTGGATTGGGTTACCATTTCCTTCTCCAGGGGATCTTCTGGACCCAGAGATCAAACTCGTATTTCTTGCATCTCCTGCATTGGCCGGCAGATTCTTTATCATTGTGCCACCTGGGAAGACTGTGTGCTCCTTACCATTAGGCTACATGGTCACAGCCTTTTCTTTGTCTCCAGAATTTCCCCAAAATAGTGTCAGTGCTCTTTCTGTGACCCTTTCTTGCCTTCCTCACACTAGGCAGTGCAGCCTGTAACCGTACCATGGTTTTTTGTCCTGCTTCGCCCAGCAGGGGTGCCTCTTAGCCAGTTACCTGGGGCAAGGTTGAAAGCAGCAGTGAGCACTGCTTGGTGCTCTACCACTTGTTGAATCTTTGGGCTACTTCTCTAGACCTGGCTTCAAAGTCACAATCCTCCCTGGCTGGTTCCTCTTCTTGTTCCTGCTTTCTTTTAAAGCTGAGGTGTTGCTTTTGTCTGCCTTTTTTGGATCCCTGGAGGAATGGGGTCCTTTTTGGTTTAGACCCAGGGTCATTCTTTTGATATGGCTGCTTTCATCATGGTCTTCTGAATATTGACTTGGCAACTCATAAGAACTCAACCTTTAGAAACCCCCTAAATAACTTCTTCTTTTACCTGGGTATTCAGACCCTTTCAGCTTCTCAGAGTCTTGTCAGAGTACTTTGAATTCTCTTCAAGAACCTAGTCTATTCTTTATTTTTATTATTATATTACTTTTCTCCATTTCAAATGAGGAGAAGGAGGTGACAGAGAATGAGATGGTTGGATGGCATCACTGACTCAATGGACATGAGTTTGAGAAAACTCAGGGAGATAGTGAAGGACAGGTATGCCTGGTGTGCTGCAGCCCATGGGGTTGCAAAGAGTTGGACTCAACTTAGTCAATGAAAACAACAAAAACAGTTGATTTACAATATTGTATAAGTTTTAGGTGTACAACATAGTGATAGAACCTAGCCTATTCTTTTTGAAAGTCCCAATAGTCAGAACTACTCTGTCCTTTCTGCTTCTCCTTCCCCAACAGTGGCTTTAACTAGATATCTGGTAGAATGTTAAAAATCCTTATGCAATTCCCTCATTTTACTTTGCAATATCATGACATTTTTCCTTCTTGTCTGCTATTAGTAGTGGTTAAGAGCACAGATCCTTGAGTCAGATTGCCTGGGTTTAATCGTGGCTCAGCCATTTATTAGCTAGTGACTTTGGGCAAATCACTAACCTCTTTATGCCTCAGTTTCTTTACCTGCAAAATGGGGATAGTAAGGGTACCTATTTTATAAGCGTTGTTGGGAGAATTAAATGAATATGTATAAAGCACATACTTGTATACCTAGTCCTTATACAGCCCTCACTGTCTAAATGTTTGTTAGTGTTATTATTCCTTGAAAACTTAAACATAACTATTCCCCACATTTACATTTGATCACAGGTCTTACAAGTTTTTCAGGAGTGCTTTGCCACACTGCCTTCTCATTCTTCATCAAGCCTCCTGTAACCCACCATGCCAATGACGTCACTGCCTTTTCAGTAAAAACACAGTTGTTTTAAAACTGTGCTAAATTTGCCTACAGCAAGACTAATCAAATGTTGTCTACAATCTAAGGAAGTAGCATTTGTGCTGTAGAAAGAGCAAGTCTTTGAGTGAGACGTAGTAAGAGAGTAACAGAGTGGGATTGCTGTTGTTGTTTGGCTGCTAAGCTGTGTCTGACTCTTTGTGAACCCATGAAATGTAGCCCACCAGGCTCCCCTGCCCATGGGATTCTCCAGACAAGAATACTGAACCGGGTTGCCATTTCCTCCTCCAGGGGATCTTCCCAACCCAGGGATTGAACCCACAGTTCCTGCATTGGCAGCTGGATTCTTTACCACTGTGCCACCAGGGAAACCCAGTGGAGTGGGATAGGGGAATGCAAAGGAGCTAAGCCTTGATTAGGGGAGTGGCTCTTACCTGTAGCATAGAGATTTGCATTTTATAATATCGGTTGGAGGGATCAGGGGCTGAGATGATGAGAAGTCGCCGTTTCTCATAGAACTGATCAAGAAGGCCAGCAGCTGAGTTGACATTGACATTAATCTTCATAGCTACGGCAGAAGCACATGGCCAGTCAGAGTATGGCCTGTCCCTTCATCCCAGAATGGATAACAACATTTTGAGGCTTTCAGGTTAAACTTTTTTGGTTGTTTCTCCCTTTCCTTGGGGGGAAATCCTAAAAGAACACTTGGAGATTTTAAATCCTTTTTCTTGGAGGTGGAGTATGCTAGAGGGGAACATTGGTTCTTGAAATATCACAGAATCCCCCATTCCCACATCAGACACATTACTTTTGGTCCCTGAGCCATAGACATTGGGAGACCCCTCAAAGAAGCCCTGATCATTATGTCCACTCTCCCCATTCCCTAGTTTCACTCACGAGCACAGATGGGTGGTGATCCTGACCACTGGCGGCTGGACTGGCAGACCCGTGAGGGGGTCCCTTGGCGCTCATACCCTCCATCACAGTGGTATTCACAGGTGGCACCATAGTTGTCCCCCACTGAGGTGCAAGTGAGGTAGCCATGCTGTGGTGGTTTCAGAGTTGGGCAGCGTCTCACTGTCAGGGAGAAATTCAAGTTAGGGACCATGGTAACTCTTGTAGAAAACAATAGGCTAAGAGGGTGCCCATGCTGGGTTTTCTAGATCAGCAGATCCAGGATAATCAGAATGAATGACCTCTCTGTGTTGCCAATGGCCATAGCTAGAGGCAAAATTTTTGCTTTCTTATGGAGTTAAATCTGAAATGTAGACAAAAGTGTTCATAAAATGTGGAAGCATGGATATACATATATATATATAGTCATCAAAAGACTAGCAATCTGCAAAAAAAAATTGCCATTTTTGTTTTCAGACTTTGGGGACACTCTGCAAACAGATGACCACCTTATAAATTACTTTTAATATGAAATATCATTGGAGTCCCCTGGTGGCTCAGAAGATAAAGAATCCATGTGCAATGCAGGAGACACAGGTTCAATCCCTGGGTCAGAAAGTTTCTCTGCAGAAGGAAATTGCAATCTACTCCATTTTTCTTGCCTGGAGAAGTCCATGCAGAGGAGCCTGGTGGGCTACAGTCCATGGGGTAGCAAACAGTTGGACATGACTGAGCAACTAACACTTTAAAATATCCATCAGTGGGAGGAGAAGTGTTGAGCAAAGTATGATATATTCTTAGAAGTAGATTATTATACTGTGATTAAAAGACTTCTGAAAAAACTTTAAAGAACATGAGAAATTTACCTGTGTTATAATGAAAAGTGAAAAGGGGTTACCTAAGATTGGATATGCAGTGTGATCTCAATTACGTATTTTTAAAGTATGTGTGAATAAAAGACTGGAAGAAAAATACCAAAAGATTAACAACAATTGCCTCTGGGTGACAGAGTAATAGTTTTTTCCCCTCTTTGTGTATTACTTTATTTCCCATACGTTCAACAATGAGCATGAATTAATTTTATGATGAAAACAAAACAAAAGCAAGAATCAGCAGCCAGCACCACCAATTTCAGCAGAGGAGAAAGACTGAGAACGAAGGCTGATTGACTTTAATCATTAATTTGAAGGCTAAGAAAAGAAATGGATACAGAGTACCTTGGTGGGTGTCATGTAGATTTGGGAGAATGAGAAAGTCTTGTTGGGGAGCAGAGTTTCTGAAACGTGTATACACATGTATACAAGCTTCCTGAATGACCTATTTCATGAATTTGAGTTTCTGCTCTCCCAATCTGCATGAGGTGTCTGTTTCAGGCATAGGGAGGAGAGGGTTGTGATGGGCATCTAGAGGGTAAGGGAAGAGCAGAGATAGTAAGCAATGCAGAAATGGAAAACTTCTTTCTGACCTTGTACTTTTACAATGAACTTGCAGCTGGCCCGGTTGTAGGCTCGGTCATAAGCAGTGTAACGAATCACGTGTTCTCCCTCTGGAAAGTGAGAGCCAGGTTCAGGGCCTCGAAGTATCAACCTACATGGGACAGGGTGAAAGAGCCACTGAGGAAAGTGACTCTTAGAACTGGGGTTTGGGGCACATCATCACTGTACCATCAGTCTGTGTGGTTCAGTGTGGGCTACCTGAGTGCCTGGCATCTGTGACTCACCTGGTGATGGTACCATCAGCAGAATCTTTCACCAGGGGTGGGTCCCAGTATACTCGAGCAGTCAGTTTTTCCGGCTCTGCCATCTTCTCACGGGAGTGGGGACAACGGATCTTGGGGGGATCTATGTCTGCCAAGGTCAGAAATCAAGTGCTGACTCATGGGTCCCCTGCCTTCCCTGGAGGGAACCCATGAAACAATACCACACCACTGGGTAGGTAAAAGATGCAGTTCAAGATGCTCAATGAAACTTGTGAGGCCTGACTCCACGGAAGCGATTGCTTTGTTAAGCCTGTTCCCAGGGTGCCACCTTTTGCAGCTAGTGGGAATGCCTTCTGCAGTGGACATAATGCCAGGCTGGCCCTTTGCAGCAGGACAACTGGGAGCAACCAGCATTTACCTACACATACAGGCTCTCCTCCGCTCCATCGTCCATCTTCCATGCAGATTCGGCTGCGGTCACCTTCCAAGTGGTAGCCACTGGAACAGCTGTAGTCACAGCGAGAGTCAAGAAGCACCCCATTTGTGCATGTGTAGGTGCCACTCGTGATGAATGGCAATGCGTGGCATCTCATCTCTAAGAGAGAATCAGGAGGCAAGTTCAGTGGCCTGTGGGGCTATGTGGAAGTAATGCCTAGGCATCTAGCCCAGGGAAGACCATGTCAGAGACAGCAGAAAATACAGGGAAACATACGCCCAACTGCTCTGACATTTTTGCACCTGATTGCCTCTTTGTACTAATTTCTTTCTTATTTTCATATTATGAAGTATAATAGTACTCTTGGGGGGCGGAGGTGGAGAGATGGTCTCAAAGAAGTTACTCATCTAAGTTCATGGATTTGAGAAATGCACCTCAGTTTGGATCCCAGCTCCACCACTTAACTAGCTCTGTGACTTGAGCAAGTTACATCATCTCTCCAAGTCTCAGTGTCTCCATCACTAAAACATGTACACCATGAAGTAGGATTGTTGTGCCAAATATAGAGACAGTGCATATAAATCTCTGGGCTTATTTAGGGCCTCATCAGCTCATAGTTTTCCTCTCTTTTTCCACAAATGCTAGATGCCCTTGAACAAATTCAAGGCTCCTTTTTAAACATAATGTTGGTGCTGCCACAAGCACTCCTCAGCTGAGGCTCACTTACATGCCCACTGGTCCTCTGTGCTGGTGAGAGTATAAGTCAGGCCAATCCCAGTTGGGGAGGGGTGGACAGCTTTGGAGGCATTTGCTTAAAGGCGAGTCCATGTGCTTTAGACATTACGTGTGCCAGAAGTGGCAACAGCTCCCATGAATTGATTGTAAATTTGTGCTTGCCAAAGTCCAGTATGAAATACCCAACACCTGAAGGAAGTAGGCCAGTCATATGTTCCTTTAGGTTGTCTAAGTTCTACCCTCCTTAACTTCATTGGAGCTTTGAATAAAGATTCTATAAACTATGTTTGTTTTTGCTTCCTGGTCAAGCCAGACTTGAAGGTGATTGCCTTTTATGTTTTCCAGCCTCCTTTATATAAAAACCTAAGCAAAAATGACCTTCTTGAAATCAGGGCCAAGTAAAAAGGTCTGTCTTTCTGTTGATTTTATTTTCTTAGTATTATATGACAGTGAAAATGATAGATCCAAAGTGTTTGCCCTGTGTCTCTTATGAGGAAGTACAAAGTGAGATTCAGTGTTTAAACAGGCACAGTGGTAAAAAAAAATCTGCCTGGCAATGCAAGAGACTCAAGAGGCATAGTTTTGATCCCTGGGTTGGAAAGATCCCCTGGAGAAGGAAATGGAATCCCACTCCAGTATTCTTGCCTGGGAAATTGCATGGGCAGAGGAGCCTGGTAGATTATAGCTCATGGGGTCACAGAGTCGGACACAACTGAGCAACTGAGCACACATACAACACAAACTTTTAACTGGTTTCATGTTAGTTTGTCAACGTATTTTAATTTTGTAAGGTCAATTCAAATTCATTTTGGAAATGATGGGGTCTAGTCCTATAACAAATGGCTTATAGTCACCTAGAGGGGTATAGTGGCTTCATTTTTTCTGGCTACCAAACTTCTCCTCTATTCCGCAGCATCTTCTCCAAACAGTGCCATTTCTCGCTGAATGCTCAGCATTCTACATCCCCTGACACTCCATTCACACACACACATTGGTTAGTCTAGAATCAGTCTGGTAATTAAGGAATTGGCTCTTGAAGTGGCCCTGCACACATGGGGGTTCTACAAATGGCATTCATCAATGGATGTAGGGACAGGCAAAGCTTAGCTGCCAAAATAGGGTAGACTGTAGGGTTTCAATAAGAGGTAGGGATTTGGGAACTGAGGTGAACATGATATGAAATGTATGTATTAGCACCCCTGCATTCCAGCCTTAGAGGTTTTTCTTGACTTTCAGAAGAAAATGAAGACTAGCAGATGTCTTTTAGCTTCATTGCCAAGGCCTAAGACCTTAGGTCAAGAAGTACAGTAGTTTACCACAAGTGGGAAAGAGTCTGAGACTGCACATGCTTGAGAGTTCCAGAGGAAGGCATAAGTCCACATCAGGCCCCAGGTGTAAGCTTCCCACGCACTCCTGGGCCCTTTGAGACTGAGGGCTGGTTGCTACTTGCATGCATGTGTGCTCAGTCGCTAAGTCATGCCAGATTCTTTGTGACTTCATGAACTGTAGCCCGCCAGGATCCTCTGTCCATGGGATTCTCCAGGCAAGAGTACTGGAGTGGGTTGCCATTCCTTCTCCAGGGGTTCTTACAAACTGAGGGATTGAACCCATGTATCTGGCATTGGCAGGCAAGTTCTTTATTACTGAGCCACTGGGGCAGCCTGGTTGCAACTTAAAAGGCCCCTATTGTTTGATCCATTATCACAGGGAGAGAACATGAGCTAGAATGTTAGGATGGGGAAAGGCCCCATTGGGATCCTGTGGAAATTTTCAGTTTGTACTTGACAGAGGGCATAGTAATACCTCCACGCATATACCCTGGGTGGCTGGCTGGCTGGCCTCTTTCACATGCAGATGTCAGCCTATACATGCACACCACTTACGCCTGCAGTAGGCAGTTCCAGACCAACGGCGGCTTGGCAGGCATTGCACCGATCTCCGTCCAATCAGTCGAAAGCCCCGGTCACAGGAAAGCTCACAACGAGTGCCCAGGCTGCTGTGATAATTTCCTCCTCTTGGTGAGTAGCATGTGGCTTCACCATCCTGGATATTTAATGTATAACACCATCGGGGGACTATAGCAATAGAAGAAAAGTAAGCTATAAGTACAGTAAGCTAGAAGTACAGTAATCAAGACAGTGTTTTATTGGTGAAAGGATAGACACATATATTGATGGAGCAGAACAGAGAGCCCAGAAACACATTCACACAAATATGGTAAAATTATTTTTGACAAAGGTACAAAATCAATTTAATGGAGGAAAAATAGTCTTTTGAACAAATGATGCTGGAGCAACTGAACTTCCATAGGCAAAAAAAAAAAAAAAAAAAAAAAAAAAAAAAAAAAAAAAAAAAAAAAAAAAAAAACAAAACAAAAAAAAAAAAAAAAAAAAAAAAAAAAAAAAGAGGAAAAGCAAAGCAAAGAACCTCGACTTAAATGTCTGATGTGTGTGTATGGATGCTCAGTCTCTAAGTCGTGTCCTACTCTGTGTGGCCCCATGGACTGTAGCCCACCAGGCTCCTCTGTCCATGGGATTTTCCAGGCGAGAATACTGGAGTGGGTTGCCATTTCCTCCTGCAGGGGAATCTTCGCAACCCAGGGATTGAACCTGCATCTCCTGTGTCTCCTGCATTGGCAGGTGGATTCTTTACCACTGAGCCACCTGGGAAGCCCATATCTCATACCTTAAACAAAAGTTAACTCAAAGTGGATCATGAACTTTAATGAAAAAGGTAAAATTATAGAACTTTTAGAAAAAAAATAGAAAAGTCTTTAAGATTTAGTACTAGGCAAAGGGCAGGTGGCACCACCAGTAAAGAACCTACCTGCCAATTGAGAGGGTAACAGGCAGGAAGGCCAGGGGTCTCCAAACAGAGGAAATAGGCTGCAAGTTTAAAATGAGGTTTCTCTTAAAAATTCTGTATTGCCATGATGACACCTGGTTCCACCTGAACTTAACTTTTCTCAAACCTTGAGCTAACCAATGCATTTTTCTTATGAAGATGTTTTTCTTAAGCTATGTTAACAAAACTATGTATTTGCATTGGAATTTGCCTTTCTTCAAAATGGTTCCACTGAAGACTTTTTTCTTTTCTCAAACCTTGGGCTGATAATAGCTCAACAAACCAGTATTCAAGTCAATTGTTTTATGGCTGGGGGATGATACACCTTGTGCCATCCTATCTGAAAAATGCATATTGTGGGAGAGGGGCCTGGTGAAACTCCCTCAGCCTTGAGGTGTCTCTCTTATCTGTTTAATAGCTTTCTAACAGATATAAAACATTCAGTTAAAGACTAGCAAGGGGGCACTCCTTCTGCCCCCTTCTGATATCTATGTCAGAAGCTTTGTCTATCTCTTTTATACTTTAATAAAACTTTGTCACACAAAAGCTCTGAGCAATCAAGCTTCATCACTGGCCCCAGATTGAATTCCTCTTTTCCAGAGGCCAAGAATCCTGGCATCTTTCACAGCTCAGCAACAACCTTTCACAATGCAGGAGACATAAGAGACACAGGTTTGATCACTGGGTCAGGAAGATCCCCTGGAGAAGGGCATAACAACCCATTGCAATATTCTTGCCTGGAGAATCCCATAGACAGAGGAGCCTGGTGGGCTACAATCCATAGGGCCACAAAGAGTCAGACATGATTGAAGTGACTTAGCATGTACACACAAAGGGGTCTTAAACATGATATCAAAAGCATAGTTCATAAAATTAAAAAAAATCTAGAAATTGAACCTTGTCAAAATTAAACCTTTTGTTATGTGGGCAGCACTGGTGATAAACGAAAGACAAACCACAAACTGGGGCTAAAAATTTGCAAACCATATATCAGACAAAGGACTAGTATCTAGAATATTTAAAGAACTTGGAAAACACAACAATAAAAATAAACAATCCAGTCAGAGCATGAGCAAAAGATATGAAAAGACATGTCACTGAAGAGGATATAGTGATGGCAAATAAGTACATGAAAATATATTTAGCATCACTAGTCATTGAAAGTGAAAGTGAAGTCACTCAGTCATGTCGACTCTTTGCGACCCCGTGGACTGTAGCCTACCAGGCTCCTCCGTCCATGGGATTCTCCAGGCATGAACACTGGAGTGGGTTGCCATTAGAGAAATGCAAATTAAGACTACAAAAAGATATCATTATATACCCATTAGGATGACTAAACCTAAAAAACTCTGGTAATACTAAGTGTTGATGAAGATGGGGGAAAACTAGAACTTTCATACATTGCTGAGATGAAGCAACTTCAGGAGATTATTTGGTAGTTTCTTAAAAGATTAAATATACAGTTGCCAGGTGACTCCACAACCCCACTTTAGTATATACCCAAGTGAAAAAGCAAGAGAGTTCCAGAAAAACATTGATTTCTGCTTTATTGACCATGTCTTTGACTGTGTGGATCACAATAAACTGTGGAAAATTCTTCAAGAGATGNAAGGAAATCAGTCCTGAATATTCATTGGAAGGACTGATGTTGAAGTTGAAACTCCAATACTTTGGCCACCTGATGTGAAGAACTGACTCATCTGAAAAGACCCTGATGCTGGGAAAGATTGGAGGTGGGAGGAGAAGGGTACGACAAAGGATGAGACGGTTGGATGGCATCACCGACTCTATGGACATGGGTTTGGGTGGACTCTGGGAGTTGGTGATGGACAGGGAGGCCTGGCATGCTGTGGCTCATGGGGTCGCAAAGAGTCGAACACAACTGAGTGACTGAACTGAACTGAACTGAACTGATGCTGGGAAAGATTGAAGGCGAGAGGAGAAGGGGGTGACAGAGGATGAAATGGTTGGATGGCATCACCGACTCAATGGACATGAGTTTGGGTAAACTTCAGGAGTTGGTGATGGACAGGGAGGCCTGGCGTGCTGCACTCCATGGTGTCGCAAAGAGTCAGACACAACTGAGTGACTGAACTGACTGAACGAAAGTGAAATAAAAATCCATGTTCATACAGAATCCTGTACACAAATGTTTAAAATATCTTATTCATAATTGTCAAATCTTGGAAACAGCTCAAACATCCTTCCAAAGGTGAATGTTTAAACTAGGTGTGGTTTATCTATACATAAGAAGGCAATGCTGATACATCCAACAAGTTGGACAAATCTCCAGTGCAGTTTGTGAAATGAAAGAAGTCAGAATCAAAAGACTGCAGATTATGATTCCATGCATGTGACATTCTGGATAAGGCAGAAATATTGGGAAATATCAAAGGTTGTCAGAGATCAGGGATAGAGGTGGGGATACCCTCAAGGGGCAGCCCTTGGCAAATTTTTGGTACTGTGGCATTGGTGACCTGACTATGCATTTGTCAAAATTCATAGAACTGTACACCAAAAAGTGAATTTTATAGGAGGTACACTTATAATAATTGTTTAAAAATAACACAAAGATGCAAGCTAGAGAGAAGGAGGGACTGCATATCAAAGTAGGCTGTTTAGGAAGAAAAGTCTAATCCCAGTGCAATACTGAGCACAAAAGGTAATAAGGGTCATTAGATCATAAAAGCATCATAAAACGTCTCATTGGCTACACAAATAGTGACTCTTCAATGGGTTCAGATTTGAAATGGGAACATATAAATAAGCAGAGGGCCACCTGCCCAAGGATGGGTACATGGGATGACAGAGCTTTCTTAGCCTGGGGTTGGGAAAGCTAAAGCCCCATATGAGCTCATTTGGCCCGAAATCCTAAGAGACAAAAAAAAGGGGCTTTGAAAAAAGGTCACGAGGAGCCAAAGGAACAAAGAAAGTTAGAGACTCTGTTTGAGGGCAACTGGAGAATGAAAACAGATGACAGTGAGAAAACTAGCCTTTAAGCCTCAACAGGCTTGCAGCTTCTAGTGGTATTTTTGAGCCTGTGGCTGTGACACACAGCTGCCATCTGGAGAAACCATCTCCAAATGACAGAAAGTCTCTTAAGCACTACAGTTGCAGGGCTGTTGATCATATGGTCACAACACATATGATTAAGACTTTACATTCGAGGCTGGGACCTCAACAATCACTCCTGTTCTATTTTTCACCCATATTCAGTCAAGAAAAGTACACATAAAATTGTAATGGGTAGGATAAGCAAGCATAGTAAAAGGAAATATAAACCTCAGGGCAAATGCTGAGACAGTAATAGAGGGTCTAGCTTTTATAAATAAGCTCAGATTTGCTGGCCTGAAGGAATACTGGCATAAAGAGAACATGTTAGATTTATGGTTTACCAGAGGCAGGGGAAGGGGGGAGGAAGGTTGTATGAAGGTGGTCAAAAGTACAAACTCTTAGTTATAAGATAAATAAGTACTAGGGATGTAATGTACAACATGATGAATATAATCGACACTGCTGTGTGTCATATATGAAAGTTGTTGAGAGTAAATCCTAAGACTTTTCATTACAAGGAAAACATTTTTTCCTATTTCTTTAATGATATATTATATGAGATGATGGATGCTTGCTAAACTTGTGCTGTATGCCTTAAACTTATACAGTGTTGTATGTCAATTATATTTTAATAAGACTGGAAGACAAAAATAAAAAACCATAAAGCATGACAGTACCAAAAGAAAAAAATGAACATGTTGGAAGGCTGGAAAGAGCAAATTCACTATCCTAATTTTCATTTTTCCCCAGAGTTATTGAGGTATAATTGACACATAAATTGTAAATAGTTAAGGTGAACAATGGGCTTCTCAGGTGGCTCAATGGTAAAGAATCTGCCTGCAAATACAGGAGACTCAGGTTTGATTCCTGGGTCAGGAAGATCCCCTGGAGTAGGAAATGGCAACCCACTCCAGTATTCTTGCCTGCAGAAACCCATGAACAGAGGGGCCTGTCGGGTTGCAGTCCATGGGGTTGCAGAGAGCTGGACACAACTGAGCATGTATGCACCAAGGTGAAGAATGTGATGTTTTAATATATATATACATTGTTAAATGATTACTTCAATCAAGTTCATAAACACATCCATCACCTCACATAGTTACCATTTTTTTTTGGTAGTGAGAACACTTAAGATGTACTCTGTTAGTAAATTTCAAGTATGCTGCTTGGTGAGACTGATAGCACTGATAGCAAATGTTTTAGAATTAAACACAGGCTTATGAGCAGTTAGGAAGAGAAATGTGATCTCCAAGTGACCTCGAGAACAAGTAATTCAAGGCTAACCTAATTTCCTTTTTGGGTGTGGTCACCAGACTAATAGAACAGGGGAAATGGTGGGTGGGTACATTATGTGGAAGTAAGTGAGGCATGTGACAATGCCCTTCATGCCATTAATGTGGATGAGATGAACACAGGAGAGGTGACAGTACAGTCATAGAGATTCAAATTGACTGAACAAATGTACCCAAAGAATGCTGATGGGAAACTGAAACTAAGAATGTGGTAGGAAAAGTGCTAGTCATTATGGAGTAGCTACAGTCTGCTAGGCACAATGGTTTATATTTTCATTTTCTCATCCATCATCTCACATAGTTCTCCCAACAGCCCTGAAAAGGTGCATGGGTGTTTATCACTATTTTACAGATGAGGAAGTAACTTGCCCAAAACCTGAAGCAAGTAAGGGGCAGAGCTGGGATATGAACCCAAGATTTGTCTGACTCGAAAACCCATTTTTTTCTAACCACAGTATCTGTCATTGCAGCATGTGAAGTTCTGCTCTTTTGAAGTATACATTTAGATTTTTGAATAGGTAATATAACCACATGGTTCAAAATCCCCAAAGTATAAAAAGTTATACAGTTAAATTCTCCCTTCCACCCCTGCTTCCCCACCTATCCCTACTTAGTCCCCCCATCGGGAACTACTGTTAATAGTTTCTTTACACATATAAAGTGAGTCTTATTTTCTCTTCCTCTTTATCACATAGAGTACGTCCACTGTTTCCACCAACGCTTTTTAAAATAAACTTAATAATGTGTTTCAGAGGTCTTGTCAACAACTGGAGAGCAAGCATGAAAAGTATTTAAATTAAATAATATTTATAAAATACACAGCACAGTGACTGGCACATAATATGTGTCTGTCCAAGGTCAAAATTGCTGGAAGGTAGAGGAGCTGGGATCTGAATTCAGGCCCGTGGCCTCTGCAATTCACTTATCTCTTTCTAGAGATTATAAGGAAAACAGTGTGCTGACAGCACGATTGAAAGCACCTTCTTTGTGATTATCGTTAGATAACACAGGCAGTTACCAGCTTGCCCGGTGATGTAGCAATCTGGGAGCAAGTGGTAGCCCAGAGGATTGGAGGATTGGGACACACCTCAGAGAAGTGTTTCTGACTTCAAGCTAGGAGTCAGTTTAAGAGAATTTTCAAGTTCAAGATTAGTGAAAATGGTACCAAAGTATGTGGGCAGTTTGCTCTAAAATAATGATATGCTTTTTATTGGTTAACTTTTTTTTTTAAACATCCTTTTAAAAACAAAACAAAAACCCACAATGGGCTACATTTCCGATGAAAGAGATAGAATGAGCATGGCTTTGAAGTCAGACATTCCTGCACTTGAATTCCTGCCCTGCCACTCCTGAGCTCTGAGAATGCTCTAAATTGAACTTCTCTGAGCTGTTGCCTGATCTGTAAAGTAGGACTAATAAACTAGTTTCATAGGACTGTTTTGAGAATCAAATGAAGATGCATGTGTAAAATATATCTAGCCCTAGGAATGAGAATGATATTCCCTGTGTCGGTGTCTGGGTTTGAACCACTGGTTCATCTCATTTCAAGGAACAACACAGGGCTGCCATGTGGAGGTGCCTGCCACAAGTTACAGAAACTCTTTTAAGCACCACAGTGGCAGAGCTGTTATTTATGAGATCACAAGACCTTACAAGGAATGCTGGGACTTCAAGTTGTACCTTCCTGGCAGCCCCTACCCCCTCAACATAGATAACCTTACCAAATTAGTTTTATGTCCTGAGACTAAGTCCTAAAGATAGTCATGAGACACTTGACCCCCAAGACCAAAGGCCACCATGTGGCTTATATTTTTCTAAATGGCTTTATACACATTTAAAAATAACCAATGAAGCAGATTAATATTAATCACAAGGCTGTTGGACCCCTTGAAAGTACCTTCTGCATCTGTTGCTTTTTTCCTATCTATGTCTCCCATTTATGGTCTACTACAATCTGGCTTTTGCTTCCAGAATTCCAACCAGCCAGTACACATTTCTTGAGCATCTACTTTTGTTATAGCTCTATGGGAGTGTCATACGTGGCACCTTCTGTTAAATAGAGAACTATTTGGTTGAGGGTAATAAAAAGTAAACCAAAGAGGCAGTATATAATGAATGCCAAATGAATGATCCAGATAATAAAAATTTATATCAGAAGATGTATATGGTAGGTACTCAATAAATAGTCGCTGAATTAATGAATGAAAGAATGAATAAATGAGGGAAAGCTCAGTGTGGACCAAAACTGTCAGGAAACAGAGTAGAGCTCTATTAATCTGGCTACTTATAGATTTCATGTGTGGAGAAGGGACAATGTGTTGTCAGACTATTTAGACTGAGACCAAATTCTATTAGAAATGATCACAGTGGGTCAGTAGGTTTGGGTAAGGGAGAAACATGAGTCAGAGAATCCAATTAGGAGGCAGTTGTTATTATCCATGTGTAAAGTAATAAAAGTTTTAATCACTTGGATTAATAAAGAAATGACAATTCTTGGTGAATGACTGATGAGAGGTGATGAAGAAAGGGGAGCTATTAAAGGTGATGGGGGCTGTTAAAGGTCACATTAAGGTATTTTGAACAGAATGATGGTGATGGTGTGAAGGCCAGATGTCCCTTTTTCAGGGAAGATGAAAGAATTTAGTTTTACATATCTCCAAATGGAAGTGTCTAGCATCAATTAGAGGTGTAGTCTGGGAGCTCAGGAGACAGATCATGATCACTTGAAGTTCAGATCAATGCCTCACTTTCCCTCCTGTCACCACTAGAGAGCCGATCTCCTTTCTTGGCCTCATCCATGTTCATAACAGTGAAATGTCATGGAGTCCAAGGATGGAGTTGGGGTGAGAAGAGATAGATGTGTTCACTGTTGCTGAGAGATGGGGAGGCTGAGCTCAAGAAGGGGCCACATGATTTGGGCTTTGGGAGAGGATTGTGATTGACCTTTAAGGGCTGTTGTCTCAGCATGGAGATCTGTGAGTGAGAAGGCAAGAGACTGTAGGGAGTTTGGGGGTTGGCAGGTGCTGAGACAGAGAGGCAGTGGGTCTAGACCATTTGGCAGAGTGAGAAGATAGGTAGAAAAAAGGTAGCTAGAAATGGTCAGAGAGGAACTCCAACCTCTCATCATTTCTCTATTGAAATTGTTTTCTCAAATGTTACCATTTACCTTCTTCTTGCCAAATACATTGTAATACCCTCAATTTATTTCTTTCCAATATTTGACACAGATCTCTCATTGCTTCCCCTCCCTTAAAATTCTCTTCTCCTGTGGCTTTTGTAATATATTAGATGCTACCCCAATCTCCTCCTACATGGGTGACCACTAATGATCTCTTTTTCCCTTGTTGGTTCCTCTTCTCCTGCTCACATCTGCAGATGACCTCTAAGGCTCTGACGTTGGCCCCCTGCTCCCTCAGATAACTCATCAAGTTAATGACTCTGACCCACGAAGCTCCGTCTTTCTTCTCCCCACTGCCTATAGGATACAAACCACTTTTCTTTTCTAACCTTGTCTCTCTGAGAGAGGTCTTACAGTTCTCCCAGGTGCCAGACTGGATGGTTTCAGAGAGTCCTTTGTTTCTTAATCTCTTGGTACATCAAATCTGTACTAGGTCTTGTCATCTCTTTCTTTAAAACATCTCTGGGGTTCATCCCTGCTCTTCATTTCTTTTCCACTAGCATCAGTCATCTCTAACCAACACCACTGCTACTGATTCCTGGAGAATCTCCCTGACCCAGGCTCTACCCCTCCTGGACTCCTATTTTCCACCCACAATAATGAGGTTGATATTCTGAAATTACTATTTACCATGCCACTCCCCTATGCAAAAACATATGATGACTCTCTATAACTCCTACCACAACAGCCAAACTCTTCAACATGGCTTGCAAGGCACAGAAACTAAGAATCTTAGAAATGGAAAGGATAGTAGAAACCATGTGGTCTAACTTTCCTTCTAAAGCAGGAATCGCTATTCAGCCTCTCTTTAGAAGGGTCCCTAGATCATGGCGTGTTTCCCAGGTGGCTCAGTGGTAAAGAAAATCTGCCTGCTGATGCAGTAGACATGGGTTCAATCCCTGGGTCAGGAAGATCCCCTGAAGAAGGAAATGGCAACACACTTCAGTATTCTTGCCTGAAGAATTATGTGGAAAGAGGAACCTGGAGGGCTACAGTCCATGGAGGTCACAAAAGAGTCTGACATGACTTAGTGACTAAACTACCACCAATTAGATGGTGGAGCCTTTCCTAATTTGGTCTCACTGTTTATATTCAACTTTACTTCCTACAACTCCCTCCATATCCCATCTCCTCCAGTCAGGCTGGATTCTTCCCAGTGCCTTTCTCTTACACGTTTGTTCTTCTCTCTACCTGTGGCCATCTGCTTTGCTGAATGCCCTCCTGTCCCTGTCCTCGAAATCTACCCATCATTCAAGGCCTAGTCTAAACATCATCTTTCATGACCCCTCCCCTGACTTCTTTTTCTTAACTCCTATTGTTTACTGATAGCACAGAGTTTCATGCTTCCTTGCCCTACACCTGATAATTTTATTGCCCCCTCACTCATATCCCCTACAAGAATATAAGCTTCTTGAGGGGGACAAAACTTTACCTTTGTAGCACCCAAGGCTTTCCTTACACAGAATTAGGCATACAGTAGGTACTCAGTCCATACTTAGTGATAGATGGGCAAACGTAATGCTAGAGAGGTTGGATAACACAGCAAGTCAGTAACAAGATTCATGGCTGGAAACCACAGCCTTTGATTCCCTGAACTGCAGCTTTGATATAAATGGGCCAAGCTGGGTGAGGATGCATCAGACAGGGCCTCGGCATTAGGATAGAAAAGGCCTTTCCTAAGCCTGGGAAGCAGTGAGGATTACCTTGGTAGTCTAGGATGGGAGTCTGTGGGACCTCTTCAGCATAGACTTCATTGTAGCTTTCATCTGGGTAGTAGCCTGAGCCTAGAATGAAGAAAATATCAAGATGACATATTGGTCTCTGATGCAAGTCCTTTCCAACCTTTTCCGCTTTCTAGCTTGGTCCCTTTCTGAGGACATGGCACTCCATGGGTGGAGAATGAGGTGGCCATTTAGTGGGAAAAATCCTATGCTGTGAAGCAGCACAACTACTGTGGGCAAACTTCACACCTCAGGTACATACAGGGTGAGCTCATGATGGGGGAGGGTGGGCAGTTTACTGGGCTTCCCTGGTGGCTCAAGTGGTAAAGAATCTGCTTGCAGTGCAGAGCACCCAGGTTTGATCCCTGGATTGGGAAGATCCACTGGAGAAGGGAATGACAACCCACTCCAGTATTCTTGTCTGGAGAACCCCATTTATGTAGGAGCCTGGTGGGCTATAGTCCAGGGAGTCAGGTGGCTCTGGTAGCACTAGAAGACTCCATTAAAAAAAATCAAACTTCTTGACCATCCACCCATCCTGCCCATTTGGACTAGAAATGACCCATTTCCCTGATGCAACACAGGAGTCTTGGTGAGACACTGATGACTGAGTTCTGAGGATGGACTGTTGTCCCAGATAGGAGGAAAAAAAATAGAACCTGAGCAAGGGTCTTTCCACTAATGATGGGCCTTCTTACAGTCATCAGAGGGAAACAATTCTTCAAGCTCCCACCAGCCCACAGGGCACCAGCCTTTTGCTATACAGTCCATGGGGTTGCAAAGAGTTGGACACGACTGAGCAACTTTCACTTCTTTTTTTTTAATCAACTGTGTATTAAGGATAATTCTATGCAGGAAGCTTTTTAAAAAAAAAAACACATAGAGCCTTATGGTGATAGGAAATCTTACAATTTTAGTTTGAATTGGTTGCCAGGGCTAGGGGTGGCATGCCAGGGCAAAGAGGGAGGGCTCAAGAGGCAAGGGGATAGGAGTTTCACTGCCTGAGCAGTTTGCCCTGGTTTGCAGAAATATTCAGTCACTCTAATCAGCAGGAACCTTAGTAGGGAGGTGCTGAACTAGAGAACATTCTGAGTCCACCCCCGTCCTGTTTAGTGGTCCAGTCCTTGTGGAGGCCAGTCTGCGGCTGTCTGGGAGACTAAACAGTGTGTTCCACCAGACGACAGGAAATGGGTCATACATATGAACTAATTGGAATACAACTTGGTCCTTTCTGGAGGGAAGTTTCCGGAAGCTCTCTTTCCAGCCTCACTGTGTGCCTAAAGCACACACATTAATAGAGCAGCCAGCCGTGCTGGAGTCAGAGACAATTCTTCATTTCCAGGAGAGGGTGTGCTTCTGGGACAAGGCTGGGTTTTAGCGCTGGAGCCCTTTGGCCTGTGTAAACACTCTGACCACAAACTCATCCTGTCTCCTCTCTGGGCAGAGACACGGGGCCCCCTGCACTAATGGGTGGAGCAGAGAGTAGATGATGAGGCTCCTCCATTCCCCATGGGCCCAGACTGGGGGTAAGGGGTGGGTGTTGGGAAACCAGTCCAACTTGATGAACAAGGGAATGAATCAAATTGAAAGTTTGTCTTATGAAATCATGTCCTCATTGGTTTGCCCTCATTCCAGAGGAAAGAGTTCATATTTTCTCCTTCCCTTTATTTTTTTCTGGTTTCCCTTTTCAGTCTCTCCTGGCTTTCCTTTATTTCTCCTTAGGCCTCCTCTCCCTTGTTCCCTCTTTTCCCACCTGGGTGGGTGGTTTCTTTGTGGTGGAGGGAGGTGGGTGGGTGGACAGAATTCTTGTCAGCTGTTTCAGTTTAGCATCAAAGCCTTACAATGCCTATAAACAGGAGGCCAGATGTGTGTGATTTTCTAAAGGATTTGGTCCCCATACTGTTGTTCCAGAGCTTGCTTGTGAACAAATTCCCATCATGGGAGCAAGCCTCTGTTTACCAAAAGAGCAGACAGGAGTGTCCAAGACCTATGGCTGGATAACAACCACCACAATAACAACAATGATTCTTAACATCACTCAGCACCTACTCTGGGTTTAGCCCATTACATGTGCCATCTCATTAGATCACCCTGACATCTCAGTGAGGTAGACACCCTTATTGCTTTCAAATACAGATGAGGTAACAGGCTCAGAGGAGTTCAGGAACTAGCTCAAGGTTTCCCAGCTAGTAAGGAGCAGAGTGGGCATTCCAGCCCAGTGTGGTTTGATCCTCTTGATGCCAAACTCAGACACTCCACTAAAGATGGTTGTAGGGGAAAGCTTTGGACAACATCCAACAGAAATAAAAATCCAAAATCTTTACTGCAATTCAGCTTTTTTAACTCTGTGTGTGTGGGATCAAAGGCCACCAAACATTTCCTGTCATTCCAGACTTACAAGGGATATGGAAAAGCTGAGGTGAAGACTCAGTCAGATAATTACAGTCTTCACCAGGGTACAAAGCTGGCTGGCTCAGTGCCAAGTCTGCTTTGTGACAGGAATAAGTTAGGGCCACCTTACCACTTTAAGCCTTTCCATTTCTCATCTTTGCCTGTCTTTGGATAATTTTTGGAAAATATTAAGATATTGAGATGTGATATATGAAACTAGAGGGCCCCTCTCCCCACCTTGTTCTGTTTGTCCCTCTTCAGCCCTGATGGGGAGAAGCTTTGGCAGCATTCCTTGGTCCCTTTAGGCTGATTGGTGGTTACCATGTGGTCTGTTACTGGGTTCCTCCAATATCCACAGAACAGACCCTCTAAAGCACTACATTTCACAAAGGTGTGGTTGGAAATGTAACTGATAGTTGGTGACTATTTTAAGATCCACACTAATGCTTGGATTATGAAAGAAATGCTGTCTGACTTCCTGAACTGTACAGATAGGCCAATACACACTTTTAACCCACTGCTGGCTTGATTTTTATTTTTAACCCTCCTATACCCTGCTGATTGTTCCTGGATCCTATTTCTGATTAGCCCAGAATCCATACATGGCTGCTTTCCTTGTACTACTACCACTGGAGGACAAAGTTATAGCCATGAACAAAACAGTCCTGAATGCATAGAGTGCTCACTAAATATCTACTGAGTGAAGAAATGAATACATAAACAGAGCAAACTCAGACAGCTGAGCTAGTGATGTAGGGAAAGATTATTAGGAAATCCCCAAGTATCTCTCATCACATAGCATTCTAAGAAAAGAACAGGACAGAATGAACAGGTTGGCAGGACTGTCAGAGACTTCACTAGCCGGGGCTCCCAAGAAGGAGTAATAAGCATGGTGACTCTTGTAGGAAGTGGGGAATGGCCACCTTTGCAAATGGCCTTTTGAGACTTTCAAATGAATCCAAGCCTTAAAAAACTGCATTGTCCTCAAGACTTCAAAAGCTCAGGCTTCCACCCTGGGGAAGCCTCTGTGTGCTCTGGGGTGTGCTCTGGGGTGTGCTCTGGGGTGTGCTCTGGGATTTCTTATAGTGATTCAGAATCAGGTTTCACTCATCTAACCTACACTCATGGTCTTTGGCTGGATTTTGGTCTCATGTACTTGAACTGAAGCTAGGGAGAGTTTGGGGAGGATAGCTACACATATATTTTGGAAACTTAGGCTCTTTTCACCCCAAACAGTGTGTGCACTGCCAAGGGCTTGATTTGAACATGTTGATCTCAGTGTCAGCCCTTATGCTTCACCCCCTACAAAGCCAAGTTAAGCCAAACAGGGGAAGAAGTTCGCATATTTGTTTGAAAGCTTGATGCAGCTGTTCCAAACAGAGCTTCTGCCAGAGGCCTCCACCAGGAGCTAAGGGCATGTGGAAAATTTTAGCTACAATGACTGCAGCTGTGATGGAAGCAGTTTGTTATTTACTCATCTCTGGATGTTTTTCTAACTCCATTAGTTGGGCCTGTCTCCTTCCCCTGCTCCCCCCAGCCCCCATGAAGGCAGACAGTGCTGACCACAGAATATTATTAGCATTTGGAATGCTAGCTGGGCCCCATCAAAAACTCCTGTCTGGCACCTCATTATCCTTCCTTCATTCCTCCCCTTCCTTTCCCTCCTCGCTGAGTGAGTTCTCTTGAGCTCCCTATGTCTCCCCAGAGGCAAAGGATGAAACATTCAGGGATCTAGAAATCCCCATCCTTTCCACAGTAAGAAACAAGCCAGGAGAAACTCAGGGATTCCTGTTCAAGAGAATGTGGTCTGAATTGTCATTAGCAATCTTTATCAGAAAGGAGCTATAAAAATCTCATCCTATAAATAATATCTGGGAGGGGAGAGAGAAAGAGAGAAAATGGAGAAGCAGGTAAGATAATGGCCTCAAAAGCCATGTTAACAAGCCACATTTTTAATATTTATTTATATTTATGAAGTATAGTTCAAATATGTGGCTGTTGTTCACTCAGTCATGTCCAACTCTTTGCAGCCCCATGTATAGCATGTATAGTATAGTTCATGTATATAGTATTACATAAATTATTAGTGCACAATATAGTGGTTCACAATTTTTAAAGATTATACTCCATTTTTAGTGATTATAAAATATTTGATATATTCCCTGTGTTGTGCAAATAAGCTACAAGGATATATTGACCAAACTCATTTTTTATGCTGGTGCAGCCTGTTTTCAAAATCTCTTATTAGTTTGCCTCAAAAGCCTCCCTCCGTAGCCTGCCTCAATATTTAACCATCTTTTTTATTAAGGATAGTTCTTCTCTGTATCTAAGTGCCCTCTATTTCAGTCTAAACCTTCCCTTCTCTAAGACTTGGTCTAAGCCCTGCCCTTCCTGGAAATAATGGGCTACAGTTCCTATGACATACCTGCATACCATGTTGGCATCACTGTTGGAGTGAGGAAGAGCAGCAGAGAGAGAGCTCCTCTTCGAGTTAGTTGAATGGCCATCCTTGAAAAGAGGGTGGGGAGGGATGGGAAGGGGGTTTAGGGAGATAAGAATAGAGATATGTGGCCAGAAGCACCAAGGCAAAGGAGGATGACTTTCAGAAATCAGACATCAATGAACTTCCAAAAGTGAGAGGAAGCAGAAATGCAGGATCTACGAGGAAGAAGAGAGATTTTTAAATTAACAAATGCCTGTTATATTGTCCCCTTTGTAAGGATCTCCCACTTTTAGGATAATAAGCCTCCATTTGTGAATTCTGGTCTTTTCCTCTTAGGAGGAAGAGGACAGAAAACAACCAATTCTCAGTTGATCCTGGTGATATCTGATGCCAGTGTTCCATGGCCTAAGTTACAGAAAGGGACATTGAGATATCAAGACCAGGAAAGGGCCAACATTAAGTCATATAGAACCAAGAGAGAAACCTGCAATCTAAAGGTCCCAGGTGATGGTTTCATCCACTGAACTAGTGATTCCTAACCACAAATCTGAGAAAGTGTTAGCATATACAGACTAAGAACTTGAACTCTGGAGTTACATAGACCTGGATATGTATCCAATTCTGTTCCTATTAGTTGTGGGGCTTTGGACAAATTCCTTACCTTCTCTTAGCCTCAGTTTCCTTATCTATAAAATGGGCATAATAATAGAATCTACATTATAGAATGGATTATTGCCTGACACATAGGGAAGCAATCCATATATATTAGATACTATTATTACCAACTCCATCTTGAACAGGACTGGATGTCTCCTTTCTCCAGCCTCTCAGGCAGTGACTATACCCTGGCTCAGTTCTTAGCTTTGGATTTCGAGGCTTAGCGGTTTGGTAGTGGCTTATGGCTTTCAAGTCCAGCCTAACCTTCTAGTTTTATCCTGCTGAGCCAGCAGGAAGTCAGTGAGGTTGGAAAGAACATACTGAGGTACGTGAGGAGAGGGTAAGCAAGCTCCCACTGCCCTCTCACTTCTCATCCTGTCCTCACCCTAATCAGTGAGGGACTCTCTAATGGGACTCTAATGGGATGAGAGTTTTGTGGTTCCCAGTAGGCAAATACTTCATAAATGACAGTATTAAAACTTGCTGCCCATTGCTGTAAACTGGCCGCTGGACTTCTCAGCAAGTACCCATTCACCCACAGGCTTTCAATGAAACTCCATGCTCAGGGGAGGGGTCAGTCCCAGAAATGGAGGAACAAAAAGATGGCAGATTCTGACCAGCATCCCTAAGGGATATGAGAAGTCCAAGAATGGCAGAAATTCATTTTCCAATTCATTGCTACCTAGCTTCAGATTCTGTCTAGAGAGTGGCAAGGAAGCAGAATACAGAACAAGTGAGAGCAAGTAGGGGAGGCAAGGAAAGTGGAAAGACGTGGGAAGGAATTTCAGCAAGAAAAGATAACCTGCCAGAGCTGAAGACAAGAGATGAAAGCAGAAAGAGGGAATGAAAGGACGAGAGAGAGGAGACTAAAGAGAGATGCACTAATTATCAACCCCCTCTCCCACATGCAGCCTCCATCCAGTTCCTTGGTTTGGGAGCAGGGGCTTTCCTTTGCAGACCCAGTGCTCTGAGTCTGTGAACCCTTCCCTACCCACCTTTCTTGCCAATCTCAAACTGAAAACTTGACTCAATCACTGGGGTTGGCCATCCCTCTGCTGTGGCCAGGGAAAGCAGTGGGAATCTGTGTCTTCAGCCAGGTCACAGCTCAAATGGAAAGCAGCATACGGTCCAGTTTCATAAAAGAACTTCTTCCCCCCAACTCCATCCCTGAGCCATGTTGCCTAAGTCCTGGGTCTCGTTACTTCCTCGGGTTGAGAGATGGGGTAGTGTGGTATGGAGTGGAGGGGTGAAGGAGCAGATCTTACCTGATGTACGGGGTTTTTGTACTCTCTCTTCTTCTCTTTCTCCTTCTTCTCTGCTCCTCTCATCAGTCGGAAAAACTACTTTTTAACATTCCTAGAATGAGTGGCTCCTGGTCTGTCCGGGCCTCCAGGATTCTGTTAACACTGCCCAGATGTTAGGACATTGGCATCTGCCAAAAGTTTCCTTAAAGCTATATTATCCCCAAAGCTATAGCTGTTCCTCCCTCAGAAAAAGATTTGAGAGGTGGAGGAGAAGGAATGTAAGGATAAGAGGAGCTCAGCCCGTCTGCTGCTGAGCAGAGGAGAGTGTGAGTGGCGCTGGCCTCAAGCCCATGAGTATAGTAATGACTAACAGGCTGGCTAAAGGGCCTCCAGAGATGTGGCGCAGTGAAGAACGCTTTTTTTTTTTTTTTTTTAATGACATCAGGACTGAATGAAAAGGAATTCCACAAACTCGTACGAGAGGGGAGGAGTGGAGCCGACTTTGAAATTCCCTGGAGATTTCCCCTGTAATTCCTTAGTATTCACCATCCCCGAGTTGCCCTGCCATCCATATGCACAGGGTCAGACCCACTTTGAAATTCTCTCTGATGACCTAATTCCAATGGACTTCAGTTTCTTATAAGATTATGTTGTTGACAAAATATACCATGTGCTTCCAGCCTTCAGGATCAAACTGATTTCCTGCAATAAGAGCAGAGAGAAAGCATACTTACAGATGCTTTAGTGGGAGGTTGTTTAAGTGAACTGAGATGATCTCTCTGTGCATTGCTAAGCTGTTTCTCACAGATCTCTGATGGAGGGCTGTGTTTCTCCTCACCAAATAAGCTTTGTTCATTTTAGTGTCTGATAATGAGACTGTTCTACCATGGGACATATCTGCTCCTGATACTTTCCCTCCCCTTAGAGTTGCATTTCCAACTTCAAAAATGCAGTGGTCCTGGAAGAAATTGTTTTAGATGCTGTAGAAATAATTTATTCCTTGTGTATGTAAGCAAGTTGGTAACCCCTTCTCAGTTATGAAGGGAAGAATTGCACTTACAATAATACAAAGTTCAGCAGCAAGCCTGTTTCATTTTTCATCCACTGATCATGACTACGTACTGAGTGTTTACAGTGTGATCATTGTATAAAGTAGCTAAAGACATGGTCTTGGCCTCATTCATGCAATACATTTATCAAGCATTTACTGTGTTAAGGATGGAGGACAAAATCCCTGACATCCTAATCCATAATTAATTCAACAAATACTTGTTGAGCATCTATTATGTACCACACACTGTTCGAAGTGCTCGAGAGACACACTTGCCCTTATGGACTGGAGGAAACAGACATTTAACAAAAATGTTTATTACAATTTTGTGTATTGAGCTGACCAATCTTCATTGGACTTCCACTGTAAGCTAAGAACCAAAGGACAGTGACGAGTAAAAATTGTGTGATTCTTGATCTTATGAAGCTTACTCTGCAGCTCCCACAGGGTTTGTGTTTATTAGAGGAGAGAAGGAAGACACAATTACAAAATTATACAAGACCCTATACATTTCCAAAAGCTATGGAATACACTGTGAGGACTCTGTGGGAGGACATGGGCCGTGGTCTGCTCTCAGGCAAGGGAAATGACATAAACAAGAGCTCATTGTTAGCTCAGAGCGGGGGATGGGCTAACTGGTATGAAGGTTCAGAGGAGTGGTAGGAATTAAAGTTGAATAAATGCTGTAGGGCCCTTGAAATCACATATAGGCATTTATATTAAACTTATGTGTTAGAAAATAGTGAATCTATTAAATAAATGTGTGTGTGACAATGTGAGAGAAAGAGCAAGAGAGAGTGATTGAGAGAGAGGAGAGAGAGAGAGTGATTGAGCAGAGGAATAAATTCTACCAGGGTTGTTTTCTTTCTAAAAATCCCTTCACTGACTCCCTTGTGGCAAAGAATATAGTCCCAGCTCTTAGCAGGACACACTGTAGCCCACACAAGCAAATCTCCCTATGTCCTCAGCCTGGTTTAAGCATTCACTCCATGACTCCTCATTCTGGACACACTAAACTTGCTCTTCCTTTCACACTGTGGTGGCTTGGGACAGATAGGTTTACTCCACTCTGTAACCCTTTCCCTTCTTTCCTGGCCTGTTGAGACTGTATCCATCTTTACTGATGAGAAGCTTCCCTCAGCCCATCCCAGCCAGAGCTGGTTAACTTCACCTTCCTTTTCTATCATATCACTTTGTACATGTCTCATGTCTCAATTATAGGATTTATCACACTTACTGCCACTATTGATCTATGATAATCTCTGTTCCCTACTCTAACTAGTCTGTTCAACTCAGACGCATCTCTATCCCCTACTAGACTGTGAGTGGGACCATGGCTTAGTCTTCTTCATTCCCCCAGCACCAAACACAGAGCCCAGAACATGCTAAGAAGAAGATGCTGCATAGGCCTTGTGTCCCACTCAGGGCTGGAAGGAGCAGGGCAGAGGGGTGGCAGTGAGAGATTAAAGAAGAAAATGAAGAAGATGATTATGGAAATCTTCATTTATAGGGAGATCAAAGTAAGGGGATAAGTGAGACAAGAGGGGCAGCATTCCTATGAAACACTTGGATGGGTAATATGAAGACCTTACAACAAACAGGTGGGGTTAATTTAAAAAACCAACATTTCTTCAGCACTACTATGTGTGGGTAACACTATATTAGACACTGTGGGGATATAAAGTTAAATAAAACACTTTTTCCTATGATTTAGTTGGGAAGACAAGACAAAGACAGAGAGACTGGCAACATTCATACATACAAATATAATTTTTTTTAAATTCTTAAAGTTCAGTATCAAAACTTTTAATAAGAAGCACCTCAGAGTCAAAAAGATATTGTTTTAAGAAATATTAGATATGGAAACTGACTAGTTGAAATCTCAGCAAAGCTCAACAAGTCTACATTTGAAATCATTCTCGCAGAAAGTGGACTAAGACAAATTGACATGTAAATGTAAATTTTAATACCATTTAGGAGTATTTCTCATTTCCATGTGTCCCAAATTGTATATTATGAGTTTTTTTGAAAAAGGCAAGATAAGTGCTGGAAAAGGAAGAAAGGATCCATAGAGAATTTGAAAGGAGTATATGGGAAAAGGGTGAATGAAAAAGACAATTTCAGAGAAGGAATAATGGGAATACACAAAAGACAAGAAGAATAAAAAAGATATTCCTATTTAGGAAGCTAGTTTTTAAAACTATACCTATGAATTATCTGTTGAAATGATGATGTTTAAATTATCTGTTTAAATAATGTTTATCTGATGACTATAGTGTAAAATATGAGACTTTAGTAAGTAGAAGGTGCTTTTAAATTTTACAATAGGTGCTTAGTCAAAGGTAATTGGAGGGATCTAGAAAAGGTATTAGAAAATGAAAATAAGATAATTATGTGAATAAGAGTAAGATGTATTCTGTGCGAAATATTGGGTGTCTCTTTATTGGTTCCTAAGACAAGCAGCAGGCTTCCCTTGTGGCTCAGCTGGTAAAGAATCCACCCACAATGCAGGAGATCTGGGTTTGATCCTGGGTTGGGAAGATCCCCTGGCAAAGGGAAAAGTTACCCACTCCAGTATTCTGGCCTAGAGAATTCCATGGACTGTATAGTCCATGGAGTCACAAAGAGTCAGACACTTACTGAGCGAAGTAACGTCCCAAGACGTTATCTAACAGCTCAACTTATTTTTTCCATTTTATGTCAGTGTGATACTGGGATGACTTAGACATTTAGTTTTTAATTTCATTTAATTAATCAAACTTTGAGTGACTATTATGTGGCTAGCCCCAGAGGCCAGCTATGACCAATGGGCTGAACAGGGATTGGCCGAGCACCAAATAACCTCATCAATTGAGCATTGTGTCCTAGGGTCCTGGAGAGTATAAAAGTGGGTGCAGGAGCCCAGCCAAACTGGCTCTTCAAGAAGTTTCTGAACATGTAGACAACCAGACATAAGACAAGTAAGTAGAGAAGAAGCAGATACTGAAAGCAGGTACTGTAGTAATGGACTAAGGGTATGAGTTAATGTGAATGATCAGAGTATAAGGACTGATGTTAAAGAAAGAGGTATGTGTGTTGGCCGGGCTGGAGAGTTGGGGGAGGTTGTTCTCATTGGGTTGGGTTTGAGCTGAACCTTAAATTGTGGGGCAGGAATTTTGAGTTTAGAGATTGGGAAGTAGGGAACAGATCTTATTTATTGGAGAGAGAATCTTACTGGCTTATTATGGAACAGAAAATTCACTTTGGAAAAGCTATAGGAAATAAGCTGATGTGCTGGAAGAGGCATCATTTAAATGTCAAAGAAAAACACTTTAATCTTAAAGGTTACAGGAAGTTAATAGAGAAGGGACCAAATCTATACTAAATGTTGAATGTAAAGCAAGCAGTAACAATATTTAAGGAAAGTATCTTCCTTTTCCCCCCTACAGTTCAACATCAAACGTGTTTTTGTGATCAGAAAAGAGGGAGAAAATTAGAGGTTGAACCAAAAAAGCTATTGAACTCCCTTTACCACTCTGGGATGGGCAAGATTACCTCCTAGGTGGTTGGGCTAATTGAGTGAAGGCAAAAGTAAAATTCAACAAAACCCGCAAGTACAAGGCAGAATTGGGGAAACCACTGAGATTCTTGTGCTTCAGGGGCTCCAAAGAGCCCTTGTTTGTGGTTAAATGTACAATAGCAGCCATATCTCATCACAGAGTGGGCTCTGTTTCTGATGAGGGAAATGGAAGTTGCCAGGGTTTAGTACTAGGCAAGTTACTTAGCCTCTTTGAACCTGTCTCCTCATCTGTAAAACATGAGCAGTGGTAGTCACGACCTCACAATAAGGACTTTTGTGATGTAAGGATGAAGTAACACTTGTTGGTTGCTTAGCAACCATGGTTGGTACATAGTCAATGCTCAGTACAGCATTTATTATTAATACTTTAAGGAAAAAATTTATCTTATAACTTAGAGACTTCTTACATTGCCTAGATGGGATTAGATGCCTCTTTGTCTGGGTTTCCACCCAGACCCAGGCCTAAATTTGAACTAAACTGAACTTCTGAACTTGGTGGCATAGCAATGGTGGGAGTGGGGTTAGCAGGGTGGGAGGCATGGTTCAAGGTGTTGTGGCCATAGGAATATTAAATTCCATGTCAGGTTTTGGTTTAATTTGGCATTGACTGTTATTCAAACAAAGCAGTGTTGTGAGTAGCAGAGGAAGGGAGGGCAGGAAAATCAACACATTCTTGGAAATAAGATGCGGCTTTTGCTTTGCTATTTTGTTTTTTCTTCGGCTACAGAAATATTTATTTGCTCTCAGGCTCACTGTGAAAATCCCTTTCAGGACATGGTACAAACCTAAGCTTCAGAGGAAACTTCATTTAAGATGACAAGAATTTAGCAAGACTTCTCTTGATACTTTTTTGTTTTAATATGAGAACCCCTCAGATGTGTGCTGTTTAGTTTAGGGAGACTGCTTTGCATATACTGAGAGCCCCCTCCACCTCATTTCCTGTGGCTGTGGCATATGTGTGTTTTAAAAGTTGATGTCTGCCTTGTTTCCTGATGACCTTAGTGTTTACAAAGTGTATAGATGTATCATTTACCCATTCTCTCCATGTATTTATGTGTTAAGCTTTTCATGCTTTAGTATAAAGCATGGCAGTGAAATAATTATCCAACAGTTGCTCTCTTGGACCTCAGACATCTGGCATGATGCTATAGGAGCTGGTCCTAGGTCAATATTGAAGCACAAGGAAGCTCTGTGTGATCAAGTTAATGGAACTTTCCTGTTTTCTGGTTCTGTGGTATGTGTTTAAAGCAAGATTTAGAGCAAAAAAGTTTAGGCAGTCACCTTCACCTCTTCTTCACCAATGCAGGGCTTATTGCCGCGTCAATACAACCAACACACACACACTTGACAGTCTCTTCCCTCAAAGAGCTTATACTTTTGTTAGGAAACCGGACCTTAATAGATGAAAAAAAAAATCCCTACCTATCCTGAGGTCTCTAGTATTTAGGAGATTGTGAAGAGGGCTGTTGTGCGTGTGCGTGTGCATGTGTGTGTTTTAAAATTCCACTTTACCCTAGAGTTTGACTCAGGTCTGCCTGTGGACATAAGGGACAGGAAACTTTCTGGTGATTCATTCCCATCCTGGAAGCAGTTTAAGTCCTTAGGAACACATGGTCTCAAGTTCTAGGAAGATCTAAGCAACTGGTAGAATTTCTTTGGGATGAGTAGGCACCAAATACCATATACAGCTTATATAATAGAGGAGAGGATTGAAAAGTACAGTTATCTCTAGTTTTTTCTTTGTTATTAGTTGTGTGACCCATGATTTCAGCCTCTTTATGATCAGCTAGTCTTGATCTGAAAACCCAGAGGGCTGGAATATACAGTGCCTTTCAGTTTTAACATTTAAAAGAGTCACATTTACCGGGTATTCTCTGTAGCGCCTTCCCTTTTGAACATTTGTAGCTAATAGATGAAGTCACATTTCAGGATTAATTACTTTAAAGTTCTTTTCCTCAATCTCCAGTAATTTAGATGATAAGGAGGGAGAGGGATAAAGGCAAGAATTTTTGGCAAATTCTTGTAGAGAAATTCTAAAATTCATTACCTTTCCTATCTACCTTTGGAATTCTTACAATAAGTGGTTATTTATTAGTCCTGTGCCCCTTCCCCACCTCCTAAAACAGTGTTCAAAAATCGAGAAACAAAAAACAAGGGACAAAAAAACAAAAACAAAAACAAATCAGCGTAATTCCACCACTCAGGTAAATTGCACTTTTCCTTTTGGTTTTTGTCTAAAAACATATGACTAGATGGATCGCTCTGAGAACTGCTTTTGTTTCTCTTTGGAAATATATGTCCGTGTCTTGAGAGTATTTTGCTACGTAATAAGCATAATAAGATACTCAGGTTACTTTTAACCTCTTTCCATCCTTTTTTTTTTTTCCCCCCTTTTAGGGCATTAGGGGCCGGCGAGGCCGTATCTCAGAGCGTTGCCGGCGAAGCTGGTTTTAGAAACAATATGATGCAGTTATAAGGGCAAGGAGATGGGTGGGGGGCGGGAAAGATTCCATAAGCGAAAAAATGAAGCAACCTCCACTCTGGAGATCTAAGAAATTTCCGACGCTAGAACCTTTTGTGTAGCGTTTTCGGCAACCTTCGGCAGAGGGCGCTCGGAAATTGTCGTCACTTTCCGGACATCCTCCCAGACTTTACCCTCTAGAAAACTGTACAGTGTTTCCGGCTCTTCTCAGTTGCGGGCGCTCGTAACTTTTCGGCAGTTTCCGGGAAGACTCGGGGGCTCCGCGCCTCGCTAGCTCTGTTCTGATCGCCTGGCGCAGCGGGGCTGGGTGTCGGGCTAGTCATGGCGTCCCCTTCTCGGAGGCTGCAGACCAAACCGGTCATCACTTGTTTCAAGAGTGTCCTGTTGATCTACACATTCATCTTCTGGGTGAGAGACGGAGACTCCGGGGACGGGAGGGGATCCCGGGCTGGAGGCGGGGAGGGGGTGTGTGACCCTGAGCCGAGGGAGCTCGGATCCGAGGTGGGGAGGGGGGCGCGAGTGGGGTTGGGGCGGCGGTCGCTGCTGGGACCTCGGCGCTGGGACTCCACCTCGAGTTCGGGCATCTTGCCCGCTCGGGTCGGGGTCTCGGGCGACGGCAGCCGAGAGGCTGAACCAGGACCAGACGTGCCTAGCGTTCGAATTCGATGCGGGGCGCCTGGAATGGAGTGACCCCCGCCCCCCAAAGCAAGCAGAGCGTGTCCCCTGAGAAGCAAGGCTTGCTCGGGCCTGGTGAGGGATCGCTTGCATAATAGTCTCTTTCTTTTCACTGCTTCATAAGAGGGGAGTATTTCGCAGGTAAGTGTGATAATGGCTCCACTCCCGCCAGTCTATCCTTAGGCTTGCTTTGTGTACCATTCCTTTGTACGCTCTGCACATCTGTTAAGGTTTTCTTCCTAAGGCGGGAGTAAATGGGTTAAGGAAGTTTTGAACCCTAGGGCAAAAAAAACCAGATCAAGTTTAAGAATTTTGTCAAGATGCCTAGCTGCCCCCTGGTTTTGTCCTGGCTACAGTGATCCAGCGTGTGGGTTTATCAAGACCTGTTCTTGTGTGCAACTCCCCTTCCTAACCCCCTGTACAGTCCCCCCTTGTCTGCCATATCCCAGCCACAGTTCTGTGGCCACAGAGTGCTAGGTCAATTCTCACACCTATTGTTTCTTAAACATCTAGTGGTTTGTGGTTTGAAGATGCTACTGTATACAATGTGTAACTCTCTATTCTCTGATTTCCCATGTAGATCACTGGTGTTATCCTTCTTGCCGTTGGCATTTGGGGCAAGGTGAGCCTAGAGAATTATTTTTCCCTTTTAAATGAGAAGGCCACCAATGTCCCCTTTGTGCTCATTGGCACTGGCACTGTCATTATTCTTTTGGGCACCTTTGGCTGTTGTGCTACCTGCCGAGCTTCTGCATGGATGCTGAAACTGGTGAGTGAGTCCTTGTTTTCTTAAAATTGGTTGTTGGTTTTTGAAAAGGCTTGTATGTTGTAGGCTTTGTTTCTTGGAACTAGGCATGGCCCCTTTCTGATTTTTCCTCTTCCTTATGAAAACTTACCAAGTAACAGTATAGCTGCCAATTGCCACTTCTGTTGTGTTTTCCCTGCCCTAGTAACAATGTGCTGAACATTGACTGCCTTTGCAGTTGTGATGTATCTTATTTATGCTGACTTGGACTTTCTTTTTATCCCACAGTATGCAATGTTTCTGACTATCATTTTTTTGGTTGAACTGGTAGCTGCTATCGTAGGATTTGTTTTCAGACATGAGGTAAGCCTGCCTTTGGGAACCTGAATATGTGAAAATTTATGCTCTAAGAGATAAAACTGGATAAATTTAAGTAATAGAGTTAAAAGACAGGTTTCACTAGTTCAAAAGCACAAAACTGGTAACACAAAATTGATACCTTCTCCACTCATCAAAACCTTAAAATCAAATTAGAAATTGGAATTCCACTCTGTTAAATCTGGAGTTAGGAAATCATTCAGTGAGTACTGAGGCCTCATCAAGGCGAGTGTTTAACAAAGTGGTAGTGAGGGTGGGAGATACAGCAGTACAAAGTTGCAACTTGAATAAATATAGGTTCCCATTGTACTTTGAACTTCTCATAGTTATCTTTTACTGGAATGTTTTGCTTAGGAGTCCCATTAGCACAACCATATTGCTTAGAAGATAGAATTGGACCATAGATGTTAATTATATGTTGCTGCAATTTCTTATTTGACCTGGAGATCAGAAGAAAATTCTAAAATCTTTGTTTACCAGCCTTGTGTTTCTTTGCTGTAGATTAAGAACAGCTTTAAGAATAATTATGAAAAAGCTTTAAAGCAATATAACGCTACGGGAGATTATAGAAGTGATGCAGTTGACAAGATCCAAAGCATGGTAAGTGGTTATAGCTGGTGGTTTCTCAAGAAGGAAACACATTCCCCATTCCCTCAGAGAAGATGATAGGGCCCTGCCTATCAGATGCTGTCCACTTGCACTATAGCAGTGAAAGTCAGACCAGTTCCAAAATGTTTATCTCATGAATTTGAATGCCAGTGTCATAGGATAGAGATCACTGAGTATAATCTTAGATGCTGGTGTAATTGTTTTTATGCTGGTGTAGTTGTAATGCTGGTGCAGTTGTAATTACAACTACATAGTTGTAACATGAACTCTAAATGCTTTTGTTGGATTTTTTTCAGTTGCATTGTTGTGGTGTCACCAACTATAGAGATTGGAAGGATACTAATTATTACTCAGAAAAAGGATTTCCTGAAAGCTGCTGTAAACTTGAAGATTGTTCTCCTCAGAGAGATGCAGATAAAGTAAACAATGAAGTAAGGAGTAAAAAAATAATTTAATTTTCATTCACAATACACATAATCTGCAATAGCGCAGAAAACTGAAGCTCAGAAAATTTGTGACTTGTGATTAAGTGACACTTAAACGCATAACCCAAAAAGTGAATCTCATGTCCCTCAAAGGAGATGTGATTTGTTATGAGGGAATAAATTTTAACAAAAGAACAAAGATCATCTTTTGCAGAGATGTGTGATCAAAGTATTATTGCTTGGGCTGTACTGACTTTTTTTTTTAAATTTCTCTTCCATTAGGGTTGTTTTATAATGGTAATGACCATTATAGAGTCAGAAATGGGAGTTGTTGCCGGAATTTCTTTTGGAGTCGCTTGCTTCCAGGTAAGTCCTTGTAGTTAGGAAATGTTTCATCACCTACATCTTGTAGGTGTAGGCTACAAGATTTCCACTTTGAAGTCTTTGAGTTTCTCCTTTGGGCCCTGTATAGCAAGGACATTTTTAGAGAGTCACATTTTCACAAAACTCAGTCGATCATCACAGTGGAAACATAGTAGTTTTGCCCTTTCCATTCCAGTTTTTGGTTGTCATGGATCTTGTTTTCCCATGCTATTTTCCACAACTCCAGAGCTCTGTGAGACCTGCCCTCTTAGGTCTCACTGAATCTGCACTCTCTAATAAAATAGCCACCTTTCAAAAGTTATAACTATGAAATTAAAATTTTAGTTCCTCAGGCTTCCATTTGAAGTACTTGAAAACCACATGTGGCTAGTGGCCACCATGCTGGACAGCATTTTCATTATCACAGTACTGCTTCATAGATGGAGATTTTACTTGATGGGATGCTTATTCTAAGCCATATCCTTTTGGCTCTGATAACTGAGAAGAAGAATAAGAAAAGTTTTCCCAGACTTCAAGATTTTTTGGAGTGATTTATGTCAGGAATGGTTGTGAAATTCCAGATCGCAGTTGTAGTTAAGACATCACATATAAGCTTATTATAGAAAAAACTTAAGGAAATAAGTAGCAAATTGGAAGTGAAAGGAGCATATACCTGTATCTTGAGGTCTTTAAGCTTTGTGTGTATGTGTATGTTTAGTTTTGCTTATATTTTATTTCCAGCTGATTGGAATCTTTCTAGCCTACTGCCTCTCTCGTGCCATTACAAATAACCAGTATGAGATAGTGTAACCAACATAACACGGGCCTATTACTCTCCAGCTTTAAGGTATGCTCATTTTGATCCTCAGCACTGTCAGTGTTTACTCCAGCCTATACATACAATGGATGTATGTATGTTTGCAAAGAAGGTCATGTCCAGCAGTGCAAACATTATCAGTATTGTGTTAGCAGCAGGACACGACTGAAGTGACTTGACACAGCACAGCCATGCATAAGCATTAGTCTCGCAAAAAAAATCATGGCCATAAAAGGACAGATGGGCCTCTCTGTGTTTACCTACATGTCAGCCTAAAGATCCTCATTGGTCCCCTTTCTAACAGATTTGGACCTAATAAAGAGAAATGAAGAATCCTAGTAGTGACCTTACTTGAAAGGGTCCCTGGCAAGTACACTCTGGCTCTTGATCAATACTGGCATTTTCCCCTGGTCTTTTACCCAATTCTCATTTACTGCAGTCTTCTGGTGGACTATTACTAGAGCCAGGAACTCATCTAGCTTAACTAGATTTTGGAGAAACATGTGTTTCAATAACTTCAGAATTTGAATGATAAAATGTGAGAACTATAGCTGGCTAAAGTAATCCCTAGGGTTCCCTTCATATTTGATTTGAGCCACTCACTGGGAACACATGGAGATCTTCATTAGCAGACTAGATTAAAATGTGTGCAAATGAATACAGGTATTGAAGTTTGGGTTACAAGGAAATTAACTTATTTTTCCTTTAATTTAGGATATTAACATCCCTATCCCCAACCTTGTGAATTATAAGATCATCTGGATGGAAGACCTACATTTGTTACAGGTAGATTGAAAAACTACATCAATAGTCTGATTCGATCAAGACAATTGTTTGATACATTCGAAGTCCACCTTTTGTCCCATTCATGTTACATCGTTGAAATCCCCGTATCACTCTGAAACACTGGAAGAGCTTAATAAATTGGAAATGAAGCAAAACTGTTCCTCTTGACTTTTTTGTCTTGGTATAGGGCTTTTGAAAGACAATAAGTTTACTGTTCATGTAGTAAGATCGAAAACTGACCCTTCCAAACTTGTCCTTTTCCCAGCCAGGGTTATCTGCTGTGATTGTATGCTTTGCCTCAAGAAATTAAAATGTTTTCGTTAGTCACACTGTATAATGTCATTCCAGCCAGTAGCTGGATAACACCCATCATCAGAGTTGCCAGTTAGTGGTAATGGTCTCTGACTTCTAAGGCACTCAAGACTATAAAAGGCACTACACATGTTCTGTGATACCCCAGGTTGTAACACCTTAACACTTTACATTTCTCTGCCTCTGAATTAAGGTATTTATATTAATATGTTTCCCTTATTGTTTGAAAGGTTCTAACTATTACTTACTGAGGCCTGAGTTATTGTATTCTCTTTGGGAATTTAAAGCAACAGATCTTCATTAGCTTTAGCTGGCATTTCCTTGTCAGGTTGATATGACTTAATTGTCAATATTAACTTTAGTTTTGTGCCTTTGATTAATAAATATAAATCTTTTACACAATAAATAGTGTTTTCATCTAAAATCATTGTGTTTAACTTTTGGAAAATCTGGGATGGTGGTTTTCCACTGAGAAAGCTAAGCCCCACATTTCTACTTGGTGAATATAGTTCTGGATATGAAATGTAAACCTGAGGTCTTAACACATTTTTTAAAAGTCCCTGTTTACAAAAACTATTCCCTGTGAAATAAACATATTCCTTGCTATGAAAAAGCATAATGCTTATCATTCTCCTAGAGATTAGACAGTTTTATTATATAGTTTAAGAAGTTGGATAGGGAGAGAGAGAAAACCTGTACCTTCAGGGTAATAAGGAAATTAATCATTAAAGTTGGAGTTGGAATGGGAGAATTCTTTCTTTGGTTTTGAGTTTCTTTATCCACTGTGTGTGTTAGTTGCTCAGTCGTGTCCGACTCTGATTCTCCTGACTGTAGTCCTCGAGGCTCCTCTGTCCGTGGAATTTCCCAGGCAAGAATACTGGAATGGGTTGCCATTTCTTTCCCCAGTGGATCATCCTGACCCAGGAATTGAACTCAGGTCTCTTGCATTGCAAGCAGATTCTTTACCATCTGAGCCACCAGGAATACCCTCTTTATCCATTAGAAGAACCAAGCTCATCTCTGACTGCCACACATTCACAGTTCTTGAATTTAATGGTAAATAAGTAAGTGTTAGTCGCTCAGTCATGCCCAACTCTTTGCAACCCCATGGACTGCAGCCCACCAGGCTCCTCTGTCCATGAGATTTTCTAGGCAAGGATACTGGAGTGGGTTGCCATTTCCTTCTCCAGGGGATCTTCCCAACCCAGGGATCGAACCTGGGTCTCCTACACTGCAGGCAGATCTTTACCAACTGAGCTACAAGGGAAGCCCAAATTTAATGATAAGGGGGAGTCAATCACAGTACAAGGAAAGTGGATAAAAACTACTGAAGTTAATAATGAATTTGGCGGCACCTATTTGAAAGTACTTGGAGTTTCTGCAGAGAAAGGGTATTCTCCATTAAAACATTCGATGGGTGACTTGACATAAGGTATAGGGATAAAACAATTGAAAAAAAAAGTAGTGGTTTTCCAAATGCAGTGAATCAGTTATTGAAATTAGTGGCGCTAAAGAAGGATTTAAGGGATAATCAAACTTCTTTAAAGGATAATCAGAGCAATTTTCAAATAGCTATTTTTCACTAGGGTGGCCTAGGAGAACCTTTTGAGGTTTTCTTTAGTATTTTATAGACATTTTTCCTCATTATTAAAATAGCCAGCACATGTGGAAAGTAGAAAAAACACCCTGCCTTGCCCTTAAGGTGGGTTGGTGTGTTTGTTTTTAGGATGGTTTATTTTGGATGGCCAGTTAACAAAAGTCCCTTCTAGCTGAGGTGTGCGTGTGTACATGGACTATAAAGTCCACCTCCACCTTTGCAATGTGCCAAAGGTATCCTGTGGGTTGTCTCACTTCCAGACACCAGGTTGCCCACTGCAAGGCAGCTCTGAACTCCACTTTGAGAAGCACACTTTTCTCAAAGTGTGGAAAGCTTGGCAGCTTTGGCCTATTCCTGTGAGGGTTGGACTTATGTTGTAGGCATCAAACTTTTATAGAAAATAAGTCCCTAATACAAGGTATAAATGCCATTTCTGTTTCTCCTCAGCTCACACAGGATTCTTTGAGACTATGCTTTTAACCTCCTGTCAGAATCCAAGTTGATACTTTAACAGTGATGCTGGCCAGCCAAACTAATGATTAAATTATTAGAAGCTAAGCATTGTACACATTTTTGCGTGTGTGAAGTTGAGAAAACTTTGATTTCTTTGGACTGTTCTGTATGGGCTTTTGTTTATATTTGTAGGAAAAAGTCTAACACAAGCTGTAACTACTATTCTTCACAGCATACCTAAGATGCATTGAGATTTGTTATTTTTAAAATTTGCTGCCCTTGAAGGTTGAAACCTTTGCCTGTGATGTGGGCAACCAAACTGTTTTAATTCAAAAAGGAAAACAAAAGTCTAATATATCAGAAAGAATACATAAACTGAAACAGTTTGGGGGAAATGAGACTTTTTAAGTCATGGGTCTAAAACTTCAGATTTCTTGTGAAAGAAAAACCATTATGGTTTAATTATGAGTTTTCTATTAGGTATCCCTATCCTATGGAGCTTAGTAGACTTGGGCACTTATAAGAACACTGCAAATGCTAATGAAATGCATAAGGGAGCCAAACTAATTATAATGGTTTCTTAATGTTCTGTTAAATAAGTTGTTGATCTAAATATCTCATTCCACTGTTTATCTAATAGAAACCCCCTGTCCAGTCAGAAACCACTTAACCTCGGAAACCTCTCTGCTAACTTCCTCCCTGTCAAATCACTTTTTGCTGCTTCTCTTTTGAAGTCCTTGCTACATGTGATGCCACTGAAGATTCTTGGTTTTTGTTTTAGCCTTGTAATATCCTGCTTTTCTTCCCTTTTACTGCTCTTTCTAGTTTACTTTACTATTTTAATTTCCTCCTACTGCCCCCCTGAGGCTTGCATTTGGCTTTCTGCTCTTAGGTTATGCTAACCTTGGAGAAACTGAATGTAGATGACACTTCAGTTGTGTGTTGATAATTGTGACTTGCTTGTATCCCTCTCTGTCCCCAGCACCCCAAACTGTAGCACTCTGAACACTTAAAAATTCAAAAACCCCTCCTATAACGTAGTCCATGGGTAGTAGGCACATTTGATGTTGACTGAACTGGTTCCTTCACCAGGAATAACAGTTTATGGGAAGCAGGGATGACAGTGAGAGTGTATCATTGCCTCTGCTACATGCATTCATCAGATGAACATGAGTTCTTTGGGTAAGACTGTCATACTTGATCTGGTGGTGCTCTCATTACCATGACCTCAAAGTTTTTATTAAAAAATTAAAGTAGTGACTTGTAAAGATTTCTCTCTTCCAATGAGTTTTTCACCACCATTGCTGGGGAAAGACAATCCCAATAGCAATATCCTCAAAGCAAATCAAACTGGCATGGTACTTCCTTCAATATAGACAATCCACGAATAAGTGTAAACAGTGTCTAAGTAGGTAACACAACTACTCAGAATCATCACTGGAAAGGTTTGGACACAGGGTAACACACCTGGGGTACAGTAGATTTTGAGAGATGAGGGATGGCATCCATACATTTTCACTCTAAATGCATGTCATGACCTTCCTTAGCAGGAAAATGACATCAAAGAGAAGGTGGTGTTGTTCAGTCCCTAACTGTTGTTCAGTTGGACTGTTTGCAGCCCCATGAACTGCAGCACACCAGGCTCCTCTGTCCTCCACTATCTCTTGGAGTTTGCTCAAACTCATGTCCTTGGAGTCAGTGATGCTCTCTAACCATCTCGTTCTCTGCTGCCTTCTTCTTTTGCCTTCAATCTTTCCCAGCATCAGGGCCTTGGTGGCTCAGTTGGTAAAGAATCCACCTGCCAATTCAGGAGACGTGGGTTCTATCCCTGGGTTAGGAAGATTCCCCTGGAGAAGGAAATGGCAACACACTCCAGTATTCTTGCCTGGGAAATCCCGTGGACAGAGGAGCCTGGGGGGCTACAATCCATGGGATCACAGAAGAGTTGGACACAATTTAGTTGGACTAAACAAAGGTTGGACCCTTTGCAAAGAATTTTTTTTTCTTCTCAGTTTCTTCTTTCTCCCTTCCTGGCAAAGGTAAGAGAATTAATGTTTACTGAATACTTAGTAACTGCCCAACATGTGTAAGGTACTTCAATCAACTACCCTGTGCAGGGAGTTAGAACTATCCCCATTTTTTCATAAAAGACACACAAAAAAACTGAAAATTAGGTTAAATAACTTGTGCAAGGTCCCACAGCTTGTGAGTGGCAGGTCTAAGATTTGAACTTAAATCTATCAGACCCTGAAGCCCATGTTTCTTTCAGTGATTTTTGCTGCATGGTAATAACAAAAAGGCTCTGGGGCTTATGTGGTGCTGGTCCATGGCCAAAGAGGAGTAAGAAAAACACAATTCTCCTCTAAATATCTTTTAATCAGTTTTTACTGAATACATAATTGAGTATTCTATTTTCTCACAATATGCTCTTGTAGAGCATTAGCATACAATATGTACATATTAAAAACAAATACTTCTATTGTTACTCCCTGCCTCCACGTTATTGAACCAAAGAAATGGCTATGAAGAGTTAATCACAGTCTAAACATTAACCCATCCCATTTTCTTTTAAGCCTCTCGTTACTCAGGCAAAGGCTTCCTAAAGTTCATAAGCTAATATTTCCTACGTTAGTAAAGATACTTCACAACATTCAGCTGCTTTCATAACATATTCTTTTTTGGCTATCTTTAAACATTAAATGGAACCCCCCTGCACCCCCCAGCCCCCTCCAAAACCCAAACCTCTGATACACAGTCACACACACACATGCTGCAGCTAGAATCAGTCTCATT